GGAAGGGCTTCTTGTAAAAGGTGGAATTTTAGCTGAGACTTGAAGGAAGCCAGGAAAACTGGAGGTAGAGATGAGGAAGAGCATTCTGGGTGTGGGGGACAGCCAATGAGAATGCAGAGTTGGGAGCACAGCAGGGACCGTGCTGTACTCTGATTATTCTTGGTCTATGTCATCACCTTTAATATTCAAAATTGAACACAAAGGCCTAAAATTAAGCTTAAAAAAATTAAAACCCTTCTTATTTTTTTTTTCAAGGCCTATCAGGCCAGCAGTTGGGATAAGGCAGAAGACTTTTGAAGAATTTGTTGAGAAACAATTTGAAATTGATTCTCAAAGAGCAGAAAACCAACTCCAGCAATGCAAGCGACTGGTACAGTATATTGTACACACACTGCTAATGTGTGTTTGTATGTTTTTTTTTTAGTGTATTAACTGGATACTTTTTTAAGTTTTAATTTAATTTAATTTTTTTTTTTTTTGCGGGGCAATTGGGGTTAAGTGACTTGCCTAGGGTCACACAGCTAGTAAGTGTCAAGTGTCTGGTCTGAGACCAGATTTGGACTCAGATCCTCCTGACTCCAGGGCTGGTCCTCTATCCATTGCGCTGCCCCATAACTGGATATATTTTAAAAATAGACTATAAATTTCTCAACAGCATTATGGTTCTTATTCATAACGGGAAATGGATGTATCAGAGTGGGAATAAACTATAAATGAATGAATCAGAAGCATTTATTAAATGCTTAGCGAGGTGGCTTAATGGATAGAGTGCTGGGCCTGAAGTCAGGAAGACCTGAGTTCAAAATCAGCTTCAGAGACTCACTAGCTGTGTGACCCTGGACAAACTGCTTAACCTCAGTTTGCCTAATCCAGGAGAGGAGGAAGTGGCGAACCACTCAAGTATGTTTGCCAAGAAAAATCCCATCTAGGGTCACAAAGAGGCCAACATTACAGAACAACTGACCGAGTTATAAACACTGTGCTAAGTACCAGAGATACAAATGCCAAGATGGTCCCTACCCTCAGGGGGCTTATATATTCTAATAAGGGATCCAACACATATAAAGGAGTGATGCCCAGGGACGAATATTTATTTGGAAAGCTACCAAAATGGTGAGTGGAGGCAGAGGGGAGTAGATTGACACACCCTTTCCAGAAACACTGATAGAAGTGATACGATGTTGGTTCCAGAGCTGGAAAGAGGGTTGGGGGTGAAAGGGGATATAGGAGAAATCTAGGAGTAAAACGCAGCATGGCTGGGGCCAGGTGTAGATGTAGTGGATAACTAAGGCAATTCTCAGGAATTGGCATAGTGGATAACTCAGGCAATTCTCAGGGAAGGGGAAATGGGAAGGTCGAGGAGTCCAGGTCAAGAGTTCTAGGCATGAAAAGGTTAAGTCTTCTGGGGCTTGGTTTCTGGCCCAGGGGACACTGACATTGATGCAGGGTATGGTTTCAATTTTAATGAAAATTTATTTGCCCATATCGTGCCTCTTCTTTTTACTGCCTAATCTTTCTGCCTCTTAAGTTGTGGATGGATCCCAGCACTTTATCTCAATTATTTTCTCGTATCACTTTACACTCAGTCCCTCAAGGAGCTAATCTATTCTCAAGGCTTCCCTGGTCACTTGACATCTATTCCAGTACCTCCAACAACCTAAAGGGAATCTCTACTTTCAATATTGTTGTTATCTCAAAATCATTATGCCCACAACCTAACTCATTATTTTCTCCCTAAATTGGTCTCAATGTCTGCCAATGACCAACTCATTTGTTTGAGAGCTTTGTGCTATGCTTTGAGGAAGATGGAAAGTTTAGATACGATGTCTCTGCCTTCAAGGAGTTTGTAGTCAAGAACAAGTGGGAGAAATGAATACAGATGTCTTTAATACACATGACTGGTACATTAGACAATTACAAAAATCTTGATTTGGTGACCAAGGTCATATATAACTAGGAAAAATGTGATCTCTCCCTTATAAAAATTCTCTTTGCACATACCTGTCTTGACTCCTAGCTTAATACTTAGATGTTATCTGATTATTTCACATTCATGAACTAACTGTTTCTTGAGAGCGGAGACTATGTCTTATATTTCTTTGTATTTCACAAAGTACTGAAGACAGGGCTGGATATATAATGGTGGATAAATTAATAAATAGATAGTAGATTAATTGATTCCCAAAGAATTACAATGTCAGTAAAATATACAACACCACAATCATGTTGAATATAATTTAATCTTTCCTTGATGAGCCCAAAGGCACAGAATTGAGCAACCTTTCAGGATCATTGTTATAAATATCAATCCTTACTACACTGCAAATATAAAGAAAAGACTGGTGAATTTAAGAACTCCAGTTAATAGAGTGACATATAACTGAGAGTCTACTATGAAAGGCTATATGTAGAAATTTTATACTAATGAGTCCTGGAAATAATTATGGAGTGAATAAAATGTAAATAATTTGGAAAGTGAGGAGAAAAAATCATCCAGGTGAGGCCCAGATACCACACCAAATGATATAATGGATCTGAACATTTTCAGTGTGATTATGCCTCTGCTATATATGTGTACATGAAAATATAGTAAAGTGTTATAATTTACAGGTATACTCTTAGTCAAACTAGTAAGCAATTCTCACTGAAAAAAATCCCTAATAGGCATCTCCAAACCTCCAGTGTTACTGGACTCATTGAATGGGACAATCAGATTTCATATACTATCTGAGAGCTTCCAAATGAAGAAATTTAGAGGCAAAACTCAGACTGATTCACTCATTCAAAGTTAGAAGCATACTTATGTATATAGAGGTATGGGTTCACTGGCTATTAGAACACACAGATACATAGTAAATCTCAGCTGTGTTCTATAAATTATTCCCCATAAAACTATAAAATTTTTTAGTTGAAGGGCGTTTTAGAGAGAGATAATCTATTTCACCCCTTCCCTTCCCCCATAGATGAGATACCTAAGTTCCTGAGAAATGTTGGAATAAACATTTTTTTGATTTAATTTTCATGTTTAATTTTGCCAAGTTCAGGGCTCTTTCAATGTCATGATACAGCCCAAATCCTGGCTTTATCATTGCACAATGACAAGTTTTGTCCAAAAAGGCTAATATATGAAATTTTAGTGTGGGGACACAGTCATGTGATTTAGTCCGATGCCCTCCAAGATAACGTAAACAGACCCACTATGTCTCCTTTGGCTGCGGGTACTTGTGCAGTGCGGCTATCCACAGAAGATGTCCTTGTTTAGCAATCACAGGGGGGAATAAATGAATTCAATAAAAAGCTTCTATGGATTTAAAGCCTCAGAGGGAAGTAATTAAATTTAATAGACTCTATGAAGATATACAGTGTTCTCTTTGCTGAACTGTTTTTCCAGTTTTCTTCATCACATCTGCACTTTCAAAGTAGATTAGCCTTTTATGCTTCATGTTCTCTTTTGTTCTCATTGCTGTAAGATTAAAAATTTTAAACCCTCTATTAACTTAACATTTTAGATGTTATCTACTCCATAGTCAAGAATCTAAAAAGTATATTTTCCCATTTCAGCTCTAACTCTGAATTCCTTGGTTCCTAGAACATACAGCAATTTTTATTCGTTTTAAAAATTAAACCTCAGTTGCTGTTTTTACCATAAATATTCACTGAAAAATTGCAGCCTAATTATCTTTATTGTGAAAAAAATTGGCATAAATTTTGCATTAATGTTCATGTTAATATTGCTTTAGAATAGAAAATCTTTTGTCAAGTGGATGAACTGATTGTAAATTCAGTGTAGTTCTTCCCTTAGTGAACTAAATTAACAAGTGAGATTCACCCGTAGTTAATGAAATATTTAAGTTCCTGCCCTCCACCCAAAAAAGCCCCAAATAACCTTTAGTTGTAAAGCTAATGTTGTTTATCCAGGGCTCTGCTCATCACTGCTTGTGGTACTCAAATTGAAGGTTTTTCCTACGTCCCCATGCTACTTGAATCATCACTTTATTAACTACTTAACTGTGTGACTCAATGAGGTTGGCAAAGGGAAACTCTATGCTCTTTTAAAAATTAGGTGCGTAAAAATGTGACATTTTATGTCATTAAAATATGTTGGACTTGAAAGCACACCCTCCAGTGTTTTTTATTTTAATCTCTGTGCTTACAATTTTTATTGTCATCGATTAGGTAGCAATTGTGCCTTCGGTTAGAGAGTACAAACTGAATGATGGGTCTCTCCTCTGGACATTAATGATTCAGGTATCAAAGAATCACAGAATTTTAGAGTTTGAAGGGATCTTAGCAGCTAACCCATGCTCCAAAGAATCCTCACTATAGCATACCTGATAAGAGGTCATCTAGCCTTTGCTTGAAGGCCTCTCATAAGGGTGAGCTAATTACCTTCATTCCAAATCCTGATGTGCGAAACATGATTAAACCAAGGATCCAGACACATAATTGGGCTAATTCCGGAAAATAAACTCATCATCATACTACTAATAAAGAGTAAAGACTGTACAGTGTAGTATGTGAATCCTCCACTGAATTCTAACCATGTGCCTCATCTTGGTGATCTCATGTACTATGCCGGTGGAGAGTAAGTTCTGGTCTGGTCTTACTAAACTGAAAAGCCTTTGTTTATACATCTGAGATGTTTTTTTAATCCAAAAGCAGAGATCATTAATAGAACATTATTTACCAGTTGGTCATAAAAAGGATTCAATGAAATGAAATCTTGGATCTTTTGAAGTATTTAGACAGAATAATTACATTCATTAATTTAATGAATTTATGGGAGTATATTTTGATGGGAATACATTTAATTAGGTTAATTATCTATGAAACAAAGAAAAAGATCTCTATGGTAGGATACAAAAGAAATAGAATTACTTAGACATAATGTAGTTCTAAATGCTATTTGCCCCAAATCTCTGGTTGCTTCGATCTTGATGTTTTCTAAGAATTTTTACTTTTTATATGTTCTTACCCACCAAGCTTCTAGAAATTGAAAAACTATCCTGGATCTTTCTTTTCTCATTTCTGATTTCCATAATCTTTTGTAGCTTTGGGTAAATCCTTCAGGCTGTGATTATCTAGTTGTTTGAAGGTCATCAGCTCCTTATTTTTGCAAAGTTGAATTGTTTATTAGGGCAGGGTAATACTTGGGGAGATTAACCTAGGATTAATATGGGTAACAAACAAGTCATATTATCCATATGGATAAAGTAAACAGTTGCGAATAGTCAGAAACAGAGTATTTCTTTTGTCCAGCACACATATCATTTTGGAAGTGTTCTTTTTAAAAGAGAATTTAAAATTACTAAACCTGAAGAAGGAAAATTCTTTGCTGCCACTTTTAAAAGAACAATATATAATTATCTGTCAGTTTCAGAGATTATAATGAAAGTAATTATGCATTTGCTTTGTTTTCACCTGCAGAACTCATGCCAGTCAAGGACATCTCTGAGAAAGTCATTTTTGAAATGCGGGGAAGGCATTGCAAGACATGAACAGAATAATAAGAGCCTTTTCAGAAAGAACCCCAAACAACCCAGCAATCAAATGACCAGGCAGATTAGCTTGGGCTGCCAGCCTCATTTCAGTTTGCCTCAATCACAGGACTGGGGAAAACAAAAGCAAGAAAACCATCCTTCACTGGAATGCCAAGCAAACACCCACATGGTCACCTTGAGTAAAGAGAAAGAGACAGCTGCCATCCCTTCTCAGGAGGAAGTAAAAGAGCCCATCGAAAGTTCCAAATCCAAAGAGAATAATCAACAGCTACAGGAAAGAAATGGCGGACATGTAAAGACAGAGACCACTCTTATACCAGGGGTGAATTGGCCTGATTTCATGCAACAGTATCATGGCCAAGAAAGTGAGTCAAAGTCTCAGACAGATGAGAAGAATGAGCCTCAGTTTCTTGATTGTCAAAATCATTTAGATAATAGAGAAGAACCCACATATAATCAGATTCAGCAACACTTTGACATACTGAGTCCACCTCCGATGCTGGAAAAGACTCCAGTAACTCCTGGGAATTCTGGTCTCCAGGACATTGTACAGAATCAGGAGAAACAAGCAGATAGGACTAATGAGAGCTATGTTCCACCAAAAGTGTGTTTTGTTTCCTGTCAGCCAAATGAAAAGCTTGTATCTTCTAGAGCTACCCCAGGGCACAGAACAAGAGCCAGTCCTGAATTTAAGAAAGTTAATGACAGAATAGTGAAGAATGTCCATCAGTTAAATAAGGGCACAGGAAAAGAAAAAAAGTATATGCTGGACTCTCACAAAAGAAAGCAGCAAGACAAAAGAGGGATAGTCAGCTTGGGGAATGATGAGTCACCATCTTCAGATAAGAAAAGCTCATTTTCTGACTCCACAACTTGTTACTGTGTATGTCCAAAAAGTGAGGATCTTCCAAATGTACACTATGCTAACCAAAATCTGGACCTTTCTGAACCTGACTATGCTAATGATGAGCCCAGTGGATCAGAGGAGATGGCCTTGAGAAGATCTAGCAAATTCTTTGTCAAGAAAAAGAGGTCTCAGAAGCTGTTAGGACTGAAAGATGACTCCTCCAGGGCTGGCAGCAGTGAATCAAGTACTGAAACTATTGAACTAAGAGGGAGCTGGACTCAGTCCTCTTTTCAGACGTCTCATGACCACCATGTTGGGCCAACAAGGCCCAAGAAAGAGCTGAAGCCCAAAAGTACCACCAGGAGCATCCAGATTCCAGACATGCAGCCACCAGCTTGTGAGCTTGTAACCAGTTTATTCCCTGTTTTGAAGGACAAAGTAAACTCACCTGAGCAAGAACCATATGAAACCTTCCATGAAGGTACATTAGGTAGAGTGTCAGTGTAATCATTGCATATATATTGGATTTTGCAGATTTGGTTATATTGCATTTCATCAGTGAATTTTCAGTAGGGAAGTAAGGTGGTAAAGTGAAAAATGGTGCTGGATATAGAATTAGAAGTCTAGGCTCTGCTCTTTGCTACCTGAATGGCTTTAGGCAAATCACTTCAGTTCTCTGGATCTCACTTTTCTTTTTTAATCTTTAAAATTGGGGCATTTGGATTAATCCTTTCCAACTCCAAGTACAAATTACGTACCATGAATGAATGACTGAACACATGAGTGAATGAATAAAAAAGCACTTATTAAGTCAACTAGCATGTATTTTTTAAAATAGTATTTTATTTTTCTCCAATTACATGTAAAGACAATTTTTAACATTCATTTTTATAAGATTTTTAATTCCAAATTTTTCTGCTACCCTCTTTCCCTTCCCTCCTCCCTAAAACTATAAGCAATCTGATATAGGTTATATATGTACAATCATGTAAAACATATTTCCATATTAGTCATGTTGTGAAAGAAGAAACAGAACAAAAGGAAAAAAAAACTGAAAAAATTAAGTAAAAATATCATGCTTTGGTCTGCATTCAGATTCCATCAGTTCTTTCTCTGGATGTGGATAGAATTTCGGAATTTTCTTAGATCATTGTACTGCTGAGAAGAGCTAAGTCAATCACATGAACTAGCATTTATTAAACATCTTCTGTGTGCCAGGGACTGTGCTAAGCAATGGGGATACGAAGAAAGGCTAAAGACAGTCCCTCTTCTCAAGGAGATGACAGCCTTAAAGGGGAGGCAACATGAAAACCATTATGTTCAGACAAGATATATACAGGATAAATTGGAGATAATCAACAGAGGGAAAGCACTCAGATTAAGGGACTTAAGCTGAGACTTGAAAGAAGCCAGGGAAACAAGAAAGCATTGATTATAAGACAGTTTAACAGCTAAGTGGAGGATGAACTGGAGGAGGGAGACTTGAGGCAGGGAAATTAACAGGCTATTGCAATAATCTAGTCATGAGGTAACAAGGGCTTGCATCAGGTGTCAGAGGAAAGAAGGGGATGTAAATGAGATGTGTTAAGGTAAAATTGACAGTATGGGAGAATTGTTTAGATATGGGAAGCTTGTAAGTGGGAATAAGTTTGGATGGAAAGATAAAGAGCTATTTTGTATGTGTTGAATTTATCATGCATATGGAACATCCAGTTTGAAATGTTAAATAATCAGTTGTTGATGTAGGATGAGAGCTCAAACTAGAGACTAGGGCTGGGTGCGTAGCTCCCAGTGTCATCTGAAGAGAGATGTTAATTAAACAAGTTGGATCTAATAAGATCACCAAATAAATGAGTGTAGAGAGAAAAGAGAAGTGGATCCAGGACAGAGCCTTGAGGGATACCAATTAGTAAGCATGACATAAATAAAGATCCAGTAAAGGGGAATGAGAAGGGATGGTAGGGTAGGTAATAGTGCCAAATGCTACAGAGAGGGCAAGAAGGATGAAAACTATGAAAAGACCATTAGATGTAACAATTTAAAAGATGTTTGGAGAGAGCATTTTCAGTTGAACGATAAGACCAGAAATCAGATTGTAGAGAGTTTGCAGAGAGTGGTGAAGAAGTAATGACACTAAGTGTAGAAAGCTTTTTCAAGGAATTTGGTTGAGTAGGAGGGGACACATATAATGGGTGGGGATTTTGTGGGGTAGTGGTTTTTTTTTAAGGGTAGGAGTATTTTGAATATGTTGGTAGGTTGGGAAGAACCAGTAGATAGGGAAAGATTGAAGATTACAAGGAGAGAAGGTATGGTAATGGAGGCCATCTTCTGGAAAAGATGGGAGTGGAAAGGACTGAAGGTACATAGGAGGTGGTTGACGAGAAGATGGAACTTGGCAAAGGGAAAGATCATGTCTTCATCAGAGAATGGAATAAAAGCAGAGATAGTGGGAAATGATGTTGGAAAGAATGTGAAGTGAGTTAAGATGTATCTGGAGACAAATAACCTCATTTTTTTTCAACGAAGTATAAGGTAAAGTCATCGACTGGGAAGGTAGGGGTGGGGTGCAAGGGTTGAGTAGAACCAAAAAGGTGGTGTAGAATAACTGACTGGTAATGAGTTGGGCAGATAATTGATTAGGGAAGAGTAGAAGGATTGCCTTGTTGCACTGAGGTCCCAACTGAAACGAGAAAGTATAAATTTGTAGTGGATTTATTCATGATTTTATGATTTATTTCTACTTTGTTAAGTAGCCCATGAAGCAAAGGAGACAGATGGTGGGAATAATCCAGGGTTGGGGTTTGTCAAGATATGAGTGGTGAGAAGACAAGGGAACAAGGGATTTAAGAGTAAAGGATAGAGTACAATTGAACTAGTTAACCAAAAGGCCAAGCTTGAGAAAGGAACAGAATGTAACCAGAACAGGAGTAATGGCCTGGCAAAGTACTGAGGGTTAATGACTAAGCATTGATCAAGTACCTATGATGTGGCCAGGTACCAAGCATATATAGACAAAAACCCAAACAGTCCTTTTCTTTTAGGAAATTATATTTTACCATATTATACCAGACTATACACAGATAAGTAAATGCAAATGGATTGAAATAGGGTCTCTTCATTTACAGGTGGATTGTGTTGTAAATGATAACAGTCACCTTGTGACTCATGGTATCTCTGAGTTTACCCAGCACTATTTGCTTTCAAATAAGACCCTACCATGTGGGCACTATGTCTCTTTCCAGGTCACATTGTACATACTCATTTTAAAATTTGCTTTGGAAAACTATCAGAAAAGGCTAGGTTTATTTGGGGCTGAAATTGAGACAGCTGAGCAGAAATAAGTTGGTTTTACTCATCTGCATCCTATTCCTTAATATTAATTGATTTAATTGAGGAACTCATAAGATTTTTGGGCTATTAATATTTCAGCTTAAAACAGGGATTCTTAACCTGGGGACCATGAACTTTAAAAATTAATAATTGATATTTTAATATAATTGGATTCCTTTGTGATACTATGTATTTTATTTTATGTATTTAAAAACATTATCCTAAGAAGGGGCACAGAGGCTTCACTGGACTGCCAAAAAGGTCCATGGCATATAAAAAGGTTAAGATCCCTAGCCAAGCCTAAAGGAGGAAACAGGTAGAATGGAAGTTCACCTATTAAGACTATTTGATACTCTTTAATGTCTGCCATAATTGAAATTAAGTTTTTATTAATGTGAACTTTTCTTTTTAATAGACGCTAAAAAAAGACCCACAGGGAAATTACAGGAACTTGAAGAAGAGATTGATGAGCTCCATGGAGAAAACCCTCTGCTTTCCCAGGTGAAAGCAAAGCAAGAGAAAGTAATACAATTTCTCAGGTAAATTAATTTTCCCTTTGAACACTAAAAGCTCAGAAAGCTCAGATACCAGATGCCCAAGTTTCATGTACCTCTCATTTACTGCAGCTCTGTATCTCTGCTGATCACTGCCATCAGAGGAAAAGCTGTGTGTCTTTAGGTACAGTTTTCTGTGTGACTCTCTCTTGGATGACTTCTTTAATGTGGAACATAAAAACCTGGGGGTTTGCCCTTGTGGTATCATTTTTAAGGACACTGGAGTTTTATGATATATGGGCATAGCAGAGGGATTGACGTGTGATTTATTGGTATGGGGAACTCTAGGATGAGGGAATTTATCCCTGGGAACTGGACAGGGGAATATATTCTCCAAGGAGGAAAGGTTGCTGAGTGATGGAGGGCAAGGGCAAGGTCTGGGAGTGTGTGGCATAGTGAGAAGTAAGGAGTGTTCATCCTCCTCCTCCTCCTCCTCCTCCTCCTCCTCCTCCTCCTCCTAAACAAACATGATGACAAGTATGAGAGATGTATACAATACTAGAGAGAACAGTCAAGGATGCAGTATCTTCTGGGGTGAGGCATGTTTCCCTGGGTTCAGGAAGATGGAAGGAGTATGAGAGTTCTAATATGAAGGACTGTTGGTTAACAATAGGACAGAATTCCAAAGAGTACAGTAAAAGGGAAATGCACTGGCAAATGGGAGTAGTAGGGCTAGGTGGAGTGGAAACATGGAGATGGGTGGCGCTTGAAAGAGAAGGGAGTTTTCACCTAGGCAGCCTTTGACTCTGAATTCCAGATTCTGAGAGGAGGAGCGAATGTGCTAGTCATAGGAAAATAGATTGCCACCTCCTTCCTAGTAGCCATGCATGGTATCTGTAGTCCAGGCTCCATTTTCTGAGAGTTGGGATCGGATGGTGGACTCTGGTCCTCAGATCTTCCATATAGCCTGGTTGCCTAATCTCCAAGAAGGATTCTGATTGGATCTTCACTGATTATGGTCAGCTATGTCACAATTAGTTTACTTGCCCTCCCTAGTCAGCAAGGGCAGCTGTGACCTAGGTATTAGGAGAACTGAGTTATACTGTAAAAGCAAACTATTTATTTTACATTTAATATAAACCCATTTCTTGTTTGTGGGTCTACACTCTCCTTTTTCTCTATTGCCAGTGTAGGCAGCTACATACAATTGATTCTGCTTTATCTTTCTGTAAGGTGGTTTACCGTGATCTTACAAAATAATCAAATTGCATCTTTTCGAACATCTTTAAGGATTTCCATTTGAGAGGCTTACTATTTTGTAATTTCTCTAAAGGAGGTAAAGAAAGGGGAGGGGTGTGGCCCTTTAAGACAAAGAGTCGATTTAGAACTTGGCTCTAGAACTTGGCTCCCTTTACTCAATTACAGAATGTTAAAGCTGGAAGGGACCTTAGAGATTGTCTGTCCAACCTCCTCTGATAGGACCAGGCACTCAGGAAGCTGGAAGAAACTGTTTGAAGAGATAGTGACAAGACGGGCTGTGAAGAAAATGCCAGAAATGTTAGTACAAGTATAGGAAACACTACCCTGGTGATTCTTGGGGACACACAGAGAGAGAGTGAGCATAATCAGTGTATTAGAAAAAGGGATTGGGAAAAGGCAAATAGAGTCGTGAGGAGTGAGGGGTTTAGGTTTATTCTGAAGGAAACTGATGTAACTAAAGCAAAGACAATTATAGAATCATAAAATAAGACTTTAATATGTTTAGATCTATTTGATTATTTCATACTAAAAATTCTCTCTTTAGAATTTCTTCTAATTAGCTTGTTAATCCATCAGTTCATTTATGATTTCTTATTAATATACATAATTCAAAGTTCATTACAAATCGCTTTCTTGAGGATAAGCAACATGTTGTACCGGATAAAGATTTGGCCTCAGAGGAGAAAGAACTGGGTTCAATCCCAGTTCTGACACAGATTGGCTTTCAGGCACTAGGCAAGTCTTCTCAGTGGCCCAGGTAACTATAAAATGACAAGTTGCCCAAGAAGGCACAGATCTTTATGGGTGCAAGAAGTTCCTCCTTGGGAGCTCTTAAAACTGAAGAAATCACAGATCTGTTTTTTAAAAGCTTATTAAAAATTAGGCTTAAGAATAAATGAATAATATCCTCTCTTTGATTAAACAATATCAGGAAATCTGAATCATGAGAGTTATTACCGATGAATTCAGGTTTCTCTACTGCAGCTCCCCTGTCCTTGACTTGCCTTGAGCCTCCGGTAGTTGTGACCACTGGGTGGCAGTATTGGGATGGAAACTTGTAATAGTTTCTCAGTTTATCTGGTTTAGAAATGTCACCCAACCAAAAAATGAGATTATTTTCAACAGCATTTTTTGTGTCCTCATATTTCTGTAGATTGACAGAAATGTGCCTAGCATTGCATAGACTGGTATTCCTCTGAAAGGCTGATTTCTTTCTGAGTCTTGAAAATCTGTCTGGGAATGAATTAAAATATTCTTAGGTAAGAACACTTTTGTACATGGCCAACAAAATAACAGCAAGAAAATGCCATTCAGATTTTCAGAGTTGTTTCAGTCTTCCTTTCAAGCTGTTCGGTGATATATTTGGAGTCCATTCAGATGCATCTTTCTTACCATCCAGCCTAATAACATGTGCCCTCAAAGGTTGCCACTTTCCCTGTTAGTTTGATGGAGTGGCATTTAAAAGTGAAATTTTGTCCTTGGAGTGAGGTTGAGTCAGTAAGTGGAAAAGGCCAGTCAGAGGAAATTTAGTGAGTAATAACATTGGACAAAGAAGAAGGAGACCTGATATTCTTTTCTGATAACTGATAACCATGTAACCTTCAGCAAGTCATAATTACTTCAAGGTCTCAGTTTCCTCATCTGCAAAATGGATCAGATGATTTCATGGTGTCCCTTCAAGCTCTAAGATTCTGTAATTTTCTGAGTTAGTGTTTACAAGAGCCATTTAATTCAGTGTTAATTGATTAACTCTAGGGAACTTTTATATTAAAAAAAGAACCTTAAGATCTTTTTTAATCATGCTGATTAGACAATAGGCTATAAATTCTTTAAAAACTTTAGAAAAGAAAGAAAAAGGAACAGTTCAACGATGTCAGAAGAACCATAGATACAGCAATACAATGCTTTAACTTTTGCGAAGTGCTTTACATACATTGTTGGTGTCTTATGATAATACTCTGAGACAGTTACTACATTATTATTTTCATTTTATAGACGAGGGGAAATTTCTTTGAGAGGTCAAGTGATTTACTGAAGAATATGCAGTTTAGTGTCAAGCACTGTGTTTGAACTCAGGTCTAGGATGACTCCAAATCTAGCAGTCTCTTCACTCTATTGCACCCTGGTGATTTTTTACTACAACAATTTTCTGGATTATTGAAATACTCAGGATCTGTTGAAAATGAGATGATGGCATATGTGGACCTATTCCATTTATTTTCCATTCAGTGGTTTCCAAATAAAGTAATTTTAGACGACAGGTAACTTGAGAACTTGTCCATCTTTCCTTGCATAATGATGGTTAGAGAGAGTAGAGAACTTTGTCCTTGGTTATTCAGGGTCTTCTTATAATCATAAGGTATATGGATAGACATATTCATATGGGCATGGCTATAGATATAGACATAGATATAGATATGTATCATGAGGCAAATAAACCTGTGATGTGTGTGATCCTGAACTTTCCTCTTGACTAGAGCACACATAAATCACTTCAAGGCAGAAAAGGTCAAAGAGGTGAGCTTTTCAGATGAACATTACAAAGAAGAAGATTCCCGAGCACAGCTTACAAAGGCAAACCTGGAAAAATGGACAAAGACCTCTGGAATCTCTAAAAAGGATGATGATACAAAGGAGAGGTTGGTGAGTTGAGCTCCATGATGTATGGGGAAGAGCAACAAACAAAATTATCTCTATTACAACCTTCACTTACCACCCACGCACAGTATTGGCACAATTTCTTTCTTTCTTTCTTTTTTTTTTTTTTGCTTTGTGTCATTGTATATTATTACCAAGATTCTCCTGAATTAAGTCTGACTCCATCTTTGCTTTCTCCAGTATTTATCATATTGGAAAATACCTTTGTGACACTTCAACACTGGATTTCAATGTTTAATTTATTTACTCCCTTGATACGATGATGGATAAGTTCTTGAGTTAGCTCTTACTTCAATTTACTGTATCTGGAATGCTTAGAGTGGTACAACAGATTGAATAGATATAAACATGAACCTTTTCAGTCATTTTATTTTGTTAAAATTTTGAACAGATATGAGTTGTACTTTGTAACACTTAGCTTTCTTTTTATCTTTTCATTTCCCCATTCTCTATATTTCATCACTATCATTGCTGACTTATTTTCTAGCTTTTCATCATTCCAATACCAGTTGAGCATGGGAAAAAGGAGTGAACTCAGCTGATATAGTCAGGCAAGAAGCTCTCTGAGCTGCTTCTGAAATATGGCTTATTGATCAACTCTTCCTGACCTGGAGCAACCCCAGCATTCTACCATGAATCAACCCAGAGTCCTTACACTCACCATGACAGACAAAGGAGGAAACTTATCTGTCTGACACCTCCTGCTTTTAAGACTGGTCTCTCTGTCTTTCTGCTCACTACTTGGTGTCTATTCACCAATAGGTGAATTTGATTGGTGATGGATAGGCTTGATTTCTGAAGCCTGAGTCTTTCACATACTACTATTAACTATAGGGGAATGGGTGAGGGAGTAAAACATTCAATCAGTGTACATATATCTCACTCCTGCTTTTCCCCCACAGCCTCATCAGGATGGAAATGTCTCAGAGAAGTCTCCAGACAAAGATACACGTATGATTCCTAGTACCATCCTCACATTTAAGCACATTATGTTTTGCTTTGACAGGTCCATTTTTATCATTTCCTAGACTTCTGGGGTCTGTATGTCACTTGGTCACTTGAATATCCACTTCTTATTTTATTTTGTTTTGAGTATGAGGATAATGATTTAGAGATCACAAAACCAAATTAATGCCCCTGACATCTTTGATCTATGTCTGGTGACCAGATGGAAGCATTGGGACATCAGGATAATTAATGATTTTTTCCTATAATAGGCTCTTTGACTCTCCCCATAACAAAGCTTGTTAGTGTCAACTGGCTATTTTAATCTCAGGCAACTGTAAGAAATATACCACAGTAGAAATTTAAATGCTCCATAAGTGTATTTAGTGTGCTGCTTACACACTAAATTCATTTCACTGCATGCCAAAGTCAACATCTTCTTTCTTCCTCCTTTAGAAAGGGACCTTAAAAATAAGGCACTAAGAAGCATGTAGTATCAGAGCCAAAAGGGACATTATTTCTGCTCCATCATTAAATAAATGTGAAATCAGAGGGATTACTTCCCCCTTCAAGGTCAAACGGCACACCAGGAATTGAACCTGGGTCTCACGGTTCCTAGTACACTCATCCTTCAGCTATGCCAGGCTGTGGCATGCAGTGCCTGGGATGGCAGAAAGGTGATTTGCTGTTTCTTCCCTGAATAACAAACAGATCTTAAAGAAACAAATCAATAGGCTACAAGAGCAGTTCAAGATAAATGAATCCCGGTGGTCCATGGCTCATATCAAACTCCAGAACCAGATAGAATTCCTAATGAAACAGAACCTGGAGCTCCAAGATGAACTTCGAACTTCGGAACATCAGTGGCTGGAAATCGCCAAGAAATCACTGGCTTTACATTCTGCAAGAAAGAAATCAGAATCTCTGGTACCTAAGGACACATTTTTGTTATTCATAATAAATAAGCATTATTCATCAAGGGGATGACTTTTTTCCCTCAGTGCCTATGGCATCTCCTCCCTCTTATCCTGTCAGGGACACCTTTAAAACATAGCAAGAGAACTCACCTTATTCAAATCAACTCCATGTTATACACAGAAGTGTCAAGGTTAGGGTCTCCCAAGGAGCCTCTTGTCAAAAAGCATAATCTCTCTACTGGCTTACACCCTTTCCATTTGTTATTTGACATAATCTATGGAAAGGCCACATGTAAGTTAAATATAAACTATTTTGTTATAAATCAAATTGGCAGTAGGATGTCATTTTAATGTGGGACAGTAATCATTCATGGTTTTAAGTAAACTATTCTCCTAAAATACTTTAGCCATTATGTATCTCCATGGATAGTGGTGTATATTCAAATAAGAATATACTAAAAGAGGATGAAAAAGATATGGCCATTATTTCTAGGATTGGCTGTCCTACTAAGTCAATTATATAACAAGTATACAGTCAGTATAGCAAACACAAGTGACCTTTTGTGGTCTAAAAGAGTTAATTCATGCAATTTCCAAACGGGCTTAACCTCTAGAGGAATCTGCTCTCATATATCTTGTTAAGTATAGATTAAAAAAAGGAGAGGTGGTGGGATGGGGTGGGGTGGTGGTAAGGGAATGCTTTGCATTTTACATGGAAAATTCTAATCACAGCCACATAAATGAAAAAACGGAATTTACCTCTGTTACTGTGCTTGTAACCATCTGAAATCTTTCCCTTGACATTTTGTTTTTGATTAACCATTCTTTAGGCATCAGAACCAATTCTTAAAGGATCTTCAAGCCTGTCAAAGAATGAGGGAACACCAATGCACTCTAGTCCAAAGAGTTGCGTAGGCCAGAGATTATCATCTGAAAAATGTACTTCTCTAGAGGTGATTACTAATGTTTATGCTCTTGGAAAGGAAATTCATGTGACAAATACATGACATGCATTTTTTTTTGTTTGTAGATTTTTTTTAGTCTGTCACTTCTTCTGTGTGACCGCTAAACATCCCTCCTTAACTCTTTACTGAAGCGATACTCTTTTAAAACACACTCACATAAATACCTACCCCCACCCAACCAAATCACCCAAATATACAAAAAAACCAGAAAAATCCCCCAAACCATGATATTTAATTAGTATTGACTCACCCTCTCTAAAGATTTGGGTTAAAAAGTAGATTATCATTGGAATGTATTTTTTTTTCTGGACCAGACCTGTAATTTCATAGTTATGGGGAATTCTCAATGAGGGGACTCTATCCACCATTGCAGATGGGCACATGATATGTAACTTGTAGTCTCAAAAAGTTGCATGGCCTACTGAGAAGTTAAATTTTTCAGTTCTGTCAGAGGCAGGATTTGAACCTAGGACTCTTTTAGAGGCCAGGACATGGAATCAGGAAGACTTAGAATCAAATCCTGCTTCACTATATATCTTCTATGACTCCAGTTATTTACATGTTGTCTCCCCTAATTAGATTATGAGCTCCTTGAAGATAAGGACTGTTTTTTTGCTTTTCTTTGTATCCCTAGGGCTTAAACACAGTGCCTGGCACATAATAAGCACTTGATAAATGCTTATTGACTGAATAGTGAACTTTTCCTCAAAGTAGTTATCAGGATCCCTAATTTCAAAGATGATACTGGGTTGTTGTTGTTTTTTTCAGTTTTAGAGAAAAGAAGATTTACATTGGGGCCAGGGGTCCAAAGAAAGAATTGTATTATTCTAGTTGTCACGGTCACTAGCATAATTCACTTACCAATGTTATGAGGGGAGGAGGAAGACATACACGGTTATTGTTAATATAAAAATCCATGATTATTTGTTTTTAGCCAGAAAGCAACAAAATAGAAAGAATGGAATCTAAGAAAGCAACATCAAGAGAACAGAGAGAAAAATCTATTTCCAGAAGCCTTCGAGTCAGAAGTCCTCCACCTATTGGAAAGAGATCTGACCTAGAACGAAGAATCCCACCATCTGATCCAGAAATGGTAAAAACAAACAAACAAACAAACAAAAAACAAACAAGAACAAAAACAAAAACAAAAAACAGGCACTTAGAATCATAGACTATTCCAGTAACATTTTAAGTTTCATATTGAACAAAAATTGTACTGAGGTAACAAGATCACTATTAGTTTACTGTTTTGGAGAAGTATCACGGTTTACTCAAAACAATCCATTTTCTATGTTCCCATCTATGGTTCAATTTTAGTTTCGATCTAACTTTTAAGAGCTAAACAATGAACTAATTATGTGTGACATTTTTCATTTCTTGTTTTAATGTGCTCTGTTTTGGTCAACTCTCATTCATTCACTAAAAAAAAAGTATTACTGCATTTTCACATTGTCCACCTCCCCCGACCCCCACCTCAGCACCTAGCACAGTGCTGATTACAGAGTAGACACTCAGAAATATGCATTAGCTCACGGATTACCAATGACCTCCTGGTTGCCCAGTCACCTGTTTCTACTCCTGATTCTTCTTGACTTCTCTACAGCATTTACCACTGTTGAATACCCTTTCCTCTTGGATCTTCCCTTATCTTTGCTCTTTCTCCGTCTCCTTTGCTGATCCCTGACCTGCCCCCTAATTTGGGGCATACCCCAAAGCTCTGTATTGGGTCCTCTTCTTTTCTCTTCTCCAACCTCTCATCAGCCTGGGTTATTGTAAGAGTCTCCTAATTGGTCTCCCATTGTCTAGCACTGAAACTGAAGGCAGGAAGAACTGAGTTCAAATTCAGCCTAAGACACACTACAAAGCAAGAATAACAATATAACCTGCCTTCCAAGGTTGTTGTGAGGAAAAAATGAGATAACACTTGCAGAGTGTTTTTCAAACCTTGAAGTGCTTCATTATTATTATTATTATTACTCCTGTTCATCCTCTATACAGCCACAATAGAGATTTTCCTAAAGTGCAGATTTTACTCTATGACACTCCCCTCACCCTCACACTCAATCAACTTCTATGGCTCCCTATTACCTCTAGGATTAAATATAAACTCCTCCAGCATTTAAAGCCCTTCACAGCCTGACCCCATTTCCCCTTTCCAGTCATAGTAACTGTATAGTAACTGCACATAGTAACTGTACCCCCACCCACCCACCCATGGTCCAACCAAATTGGCCTCCTTGGTTCCTTGTATATTTAATCTACCATCTCTTTACCTTTGTGCAGATTCCCTGCCATGCCTGGAACAGACTCTCTTCTCATGAACACTGCTTATATTACCTAGCTCCCCTCAAAGCTTAGCTCAAGTACCATCTCCTACATGAGGCTTTTCTTGATCTTTCAGCTGCTTCCCCTCCTCCTTCTCCTCCAAAATACTTTGTATTTAATTTGCATATATTTTATATGCATTTACTTATGTACATGTTTTCCTTAATGGCATGCAAACTTCTCAAGGACAGTGACTATTCCATGTTTCTCTTTGGATATCCCGCACTTACCACAGTGCCTGCTACACAATAAACATTTAATAAATGCCTATTGATTTATTGATCCATCTCTACTTGAGCTCTTAGGACAAATATTTAAAATATATCATTTTTATATTTTAATTATTGCCACATTTCCATGTTATCCCCATGGCACCTATCACAATACTGATTACAGTGTGCCAAGGATGGGGAACCTGTGGCCTAGGCCTCAAGGCCACATGTGGCCCTCTAGGTCCTCAAGGGCAGCCCTTTGACTGAATCCAAACTTCACAGAACAAATCTCCTCAATAAAAGGATTTGTTCTGTGAAACTTGGACTCAGTCAAAAGGCAACCCCCAAGGCCCCAGGTTCCCCACCCCTGGTATAGGCTCTGTGTCATGGTAACTCATGAGTTACTATGGATTACTATAACAATAAATGACTAATAGCTTTCTGGTGAATTAAAAAACAATAATTTTATATCCCCATGGTGTCTGGTACATAGTAGGTGCTTCAGAAATGTCAGTTGACTAACTGACTGGTGAATGTCATTTTTAAAAGAAGTCTATCTATTGGTACCTTAAGCCTGACACATATCTATATCTCATAGAGTAAACAATATTATCAAGTTCTTTTCAAATTAAAATAAATTTTTATTCTAAAGTTAACAAACACCAAGTAAAAAAAGCATTTCCATTTACAAGATTGGAACAGAAAAGTGGATTGTATATGAAATCCATTGCTTTAAAATCTCCTTATGTTAAGGATGTTATAAATTCAATGTGTAACTTTTAAAGCTGTCCTCCTCATAATAGTTTCTAGTTCACTGGGTATTGCTGCACCTTCAGGTCATCCATCGATTTCCAAGAAATCTGCAAAAAGCAAGTTCAAGAAAATCACCAGTGCCGATTTCCCCACTTGTCATGTATAATGAAAGCTTGGCAGCTTATGAAAATGGTAAGAGCTGTCAGAAGGATGCTTTCTGTCCCGTTTGAGTAACTCCCTAAAATGTGTTTTATTTTTGTTTTGGGGGGGCATATCTATCCCATGTATATGGTCATCTTGACCATATTTATTATTTATCATGATCATCTTAGGGAAAATACTCCCTCTCCTTGGTAGCCAGCATTTTTTTTTAAAAGGACTTTGTTATAACTTTGTGATTGTGATATCGTGTGGGACAATCTCACTGTCCTTTTGTAATCAAACTTATTTCCCTTCTAGACAGGTCTCCACTGACCTCTGGGAATTATGAAGATACACTCTTCCTTCGGGTTTGGAATGATGATCACAGGTCATCTGCCTTTCATCAGAATAAAAACACTCAGGTAGGCAAGGTCAGGCTCACTCCATAAATCTAGGCAGGCACAGTCATATCATGTCAATGCAGAGGTTTGCTCTTGGGCTAGAACACCTCTAAGATTTAAGCTCTAAATAAATGTTTCCAAGATCAGTAGATTTTCTAGGGGTGAGAGGTGAATGCCACCCTTTACATATCCTTTGGAGAACTAAAAAACAAAACAATCAAGTTAACCGATAGGCCACTGGGTAAATGTCCCCATTACCTTTTGGGCTCAGTCAGATGTTCCAGGAATAGATAAACTTAGTCATTTTCTAATTCTCAATTGTTTGACAATCAAGAAAGAGTTGAAAAAACAGACTATTTACATATATTAAAATTCTAAAATATTTTTTACCTTTCCCCTCAAGAAGTATGTTACTACGAATGAAACTTTCAATTTATGATTTTAGATCAAATTTGACAATGAAATCTGTGTAACAGAAGGATTTCCAAGACCCCAAGATTGGTCCACTTATTTCAAGCTGTATATCACATAATCAGAGAGGTGGAAGGAACTTTAGAAATAATGCAGTCCGGTCCCCTATCCAGTGAAGGAAACTGGCCAACCACATACCTGACAAGCGGTTGCTGGCATTTGCTCACACACTTATTGGGATCGTGAATCCGTTACTTCATGAGGTTGCACATTTAATTTCTGGAAGACTATAATTATTAGAAAATATTTCTGTATATTGAATGAAATCTGTCTCTATATAACTAAAACCTAGCTCTGAGCTCTGAAAGTACATAGGTTAAATCTAATTGTTCTTCGGTATGATGGCCTTTTAAATATTTGAAGGCTGGTCATACCTCCCATCCTCAGATCTTTTCTTTTTAATTAATCACATGCTTTATTAGAAACAACCTATTAAATATCATTGTGAATACTTGTCACTGCTTAGTAACTTCAAATTCAAATAAACTTGAAAAGCAGCATAGCATAGTGAAAGAGAGCTGGCTTTAGATCTAGGAAGACCTGGGGTCAAGTCTTGCCTCTGACACCTATGACTATGTGACCCAGACAAGTGACTTAACCTCTCAATGTTCTAGGCACCTTGCTAAGATGATCACTTACAGAAAAGGTACTGACCTGCCTTGGTAGAGGGATGTTCCTTATCTGGGACTTCCCTATGCCACTGAAATCACAGGTTTAGCCTCTTTCCCTATCAAATTTAATACACTCATGCAGTGGGAATATATCCTGAAAGTACTGTCAACCACAAAAAAACAGGGTTTTTTTGCCAACAATTTTTATAATACTGTTTTATGCAGTTGTGAAACAAAATAAAATAAAGCCAAAATATCCTGAATAGAGAAATGATCAATGGGTACATCTTCAGATTTTTCAGTTGTTTTTCCTACTATATAGTTTGGGGACTCTTCACAATCCTGATCACCATGATGTGGCTGGATCCAGTTTTCAGGTAGTTTGGTATCCAGAACAATAGTCTAGCTGCAGTCGAACAGTTTACAATGATTGTATCTCTTCCCTTGTTTCATGCTTCTGTTAATACATCCTGAAATTTCATTAACACTTTTGGTAGCCATATCACACTGTTGTACCACATTGAGTTTATAGTCTAAAAAAACAACTCCAAAAGCAGACTGTGGTTTTTTTCTCCCATGACAACTTAGTTGGGCCCTCTCCTGTCTTTTGCTTGTTGAGTTTTTGAACCCAGGCAAAGGACTTTCTTTGCTTTCCATGTTTCTTTGTTTTCTAAGATTCAGCCCATTATTCCATTCCATTGGGGTCTTTTGGATATGGATTCTGACACCCCTCCAACTTTATGTCACCTACAAATTTAATAAACATACTTTCTACACATTTATTAAAGTCATTAATAAAAATGTTATGAAGGACAGGATTAAGGTTAGAGTCACAGACTCATAGACTTGGGGAAAGAACTTTGGAGTTGACTGAGTCTAACCCGTACGCAAATGGGAATCCCCTCTAAAACATCCATGAGAAGTGGTCACCTGGCCATGCCTTACAGATGTCCAGGGACAGGCAATCCACTGATGCCTGAGGCAGCCCTTTCCATTTTTCAATAGCTCTAACTATTAGGAAGATTTTCCTTATGTGGAGCTAAAATTCGATTTTCTGCAACTCCCACCTCTTTCTTCTACTTCTAATCTCCATCGACTGACTGTATAACTTTTCAAATAAGTCTTCTCTTCTCCAGGAGAAATATTCACAGTTCCTCCAACTTATCCTTATATAGCATAGGTTCTAATCCTCTTGCAATTCTGGATGTTCCTGCTCTGGGTGCACTCTAGTTTGTCGGTGTCTTTCCTACCATGTTGTACCTAGAATCCAGAGTATTGTAGACGTGGTCTGACTGGGATGGAATGCAGTGGGATTACCAACTCTTTCATTCTGGATATGATGCTCTTATTAACCCATCCCAAGATCTCATGTTTCATTCATACTGGGTTGGCAATCCTATAAAACCTTCAGATCTTTACTCCAACTGTTAATGATCTATGTTGCCCCCATCTTGTATTTGTGCAGGTATTTTTGAGCCCAAGCATGGAACTTGACATTTATTCCTATTAAATTTCATTTATTAGCTTCCATCTATTATTATAGCATATTGCGATTTTTTAATCCTGTCTCTGTCATCTGATAGTTCAGCTTTCTCTCTTGGCTTTGTACCATCTACATATTTGATAATCATGCCATCTGTGCTTTCATAAAAGCCACTGATAAAAATGATGAACAGAGCAGGGTCCTGGGCAGATCTCTGAGACACTCCCCTGGAGATTTCTCTCCAAACCAACACTGACTCATTATTACTGCTCCGGCTTCAGTCCTTCAACCTGTTCCAAATTCACCCATCCATACATATGCTATATTATCACCTAGCCAACATCTTTCTATATCCTACACCAAAGTACTAGAGGCAAAGTTGTCAAATAGTTTATTAAAATAAGGTTCATTTAGTTATGACATTTCTCTGATATACCAGTCTGATAATTTTGTCAAAACAAAGGAATAAGGTTAATCTAGAATTGTGTTCTTCATGAAGCTCTATGTGATCACTGCTTCTGTTTCCAAATCATCCCTTTACCAATATGTTCTAGCATTTTGCCAGCAATTGAAGTCAAGCTCACTAGCCCATAATTTCTGGAATCCTGCTCAATGTTTTTTTAAATTGGAACAACATTTGCTCATCTTCAGACTTGAAGTATCTATTTTGTTCGCTTTTTTAAAAAAATGACATAGTGTTTTAGTAATCCTTTCTGGGCTGTAGTTTGTCCAGGCCTGGTTAATAATAGATTAATTATGATAATAGGTTGATAGATTAATAATAGTTGATAAAGTCCTCTCTTACTATAGTCCTGGTTATCCTGATTTTCAGCTGGTTCAGTGGCCAGAGTGCTGGGACTGGAGTCAGGAAAACCTGAGTCCATAAAGCTCCTCAGACAGTTGCTAGCTATGCGAATCTGGGCAGTTGCTTAACCTCTCTCAGCTGCTCATCTGTAAAGTGAGGGGATTGAGCTGGGTAGCCCATAAGGCCTCTTCTAGTTCTGCATCTATGATCCTGTGAACCATTTTTATTTATACTTAGCATTCTGAAGACTGTTTTCTTTAGTAGAGAAAACAAAATCAAAATAACTGCTGGATAGCTCTGCTTCCTGCAGCAAGCCAGCAGGGCCCTTCCTCCCAGATGGATAGGAATCCAGCAGTCAACATCGATTTGCATAGTTATGAATCCCTTTCATTGTGCAAGGGAACTGATTTTACTTTTCTCCATTTTGTTCAGAAGGGTAGGTTTTTTTTTCTTTTCAGAAGGACTACGTTGACAAACAATGCTTCCCCTGATCTATCATCTGATAAGGGAAGGCATTGGACTTGTGATTCCATGAGAATGAGGAATTCCCTGGTAAGGAAACTCCCCCTGCCAAGGCAGGTTGGTACCTTCTCTACAACCTGTAGTCTTGGAAAGTTGCCTAGAGCATCTAGAGGTTAAGTGACTTGCCCATGGTCACATAGCCAGTATGTGTCAGAGTCAGAACTTTAACCCCACATCTTCCTGGTGCTGAAGCTGGCCCTTTATTCACTATGCCACACTGCCTCTCTAATAGTCCTATCACAGAAGGAAATGAAATGAGTCCAGCATTTCCTTTTCTTTGTGAACAGAATAGGTTGCTTCCTCTTGGACCCCAATACCCTTTCTAAGTCTCTCCAAACAGGCACCTCAAGATTTCATTTATTTATTTCTTTCCTACTACAGGGCATCTACTGCTTCCTACTATAGTGAAGTATCTTCCTCTTAGAAAACTTGAGCCGTCTCTCCCTTATCACATAAAGTGATAAAACAAGAAAAAATGTTTAGAAAAGTGGGGTGGTGGGTGAAGACAGATGGATCCACAGAGTTAGCACTTAACTGAATTCTTGTTCACTGATTGATTGGGTTGGGGTTAGGAGATGGGAGGCTTTCTCCTGGTTCTGCCTTTCGCTAGCTGCGTAACTTTGGACAAATCCCTTATTACCTTTGGGTCTTAGTTTCATTATTAGTAAAAAGAGGGCTTTTGATCAAGTGATTTCCAAGCTTCCAACTCTAAGAGGATATGATTAATATGTGGAACCAACAGTTTCATAACATATTCTAAAATTTCACAGACATCAACATGAAGGTTGTTTGTGTATAATTTATAAAATTCACTTCCCTTTGCCTTTTGAATATTGGGACATCATTTTTCTACCCATCTCTATTTTTCTAATATGTTTCTCTTCTAGTTATTCAAAGATTACCAACAACAGCTAAGAGATAACACCTGAAAGTTATATAAGTACTATATTGGAAGGATATAGGATTTTTTCAGTTGTTTGTTTTTTTTTTGTTTTGTTTTTGGCAAAGATACTAGAGTGATTTGCCATTTCCTTCTCTAGCTCGTTTTAAAGATGAAGAAGCTGAGGTTAACAAGGTTAGGTGACTTTCCCAGGGCCACACAGCTACTAAGTGTCTGAGGTCAGACATGAACTCAGGTCTTTCTGACTCCAGGCCTGGTGCTCCATGCACTGAGGCACCTAGCTGTTCCTCAGGTTATACACCTATTCCTAAACATCAGGTGATCATTTCTTTTATAATGTGGAGTATGTTAACTGGTGTGGAATTCTCCCCAGTTCAGACCTAAAAGAAATGAATAAACGAGAGAGTAAAAGTCTTGATTTAAAAAAAAAAAGTCACAGAGGACTAGGGTAGGGACCTGTGATTTCATTGCTAATGAATACTCTAGATAAGAAAATTCCTTCTATCAAGGCAGGCCAGCCCCTTCCCTGTAACTTTAATACTGTCAGAGAGTAGTTTGGGGCATTGAGGGGTTAAGGGCTTTGCTCAGGATTCCATCACCAGCATGTGTCAGAGGCAGGCCTTAAACTCAGATCATCCTAGCTTCAAGGCTAGATCCCCATCAACTATGTAGATTTGCCTCAAAAAATGTAAGAAATTAAATGATTACAGCACACTAGAAACATAGTACATGGTCTTGAGTGCCAAATCGGTTACCAATTATGGGCCGGCACCATCTCCCAATGTATTATTTCACCTGTTATTTCCTCTCCTGCAGATGCCGTGAGGCCGCCCTTCATATACTTTATTTTTTTGTTTTTGAGAGGCAATCAGGGTTAAGTGACTAAGGTCACACAGCTAGTAAGTGCGTGAGGTTGGATTTGAACTCAGGCCCTCCTGACTCCAGTGCTGGCGCACTATCCACTGCTCCATCTAGCTGCCCTCCCCCCCCCCAACTTCATATACTTTAGAGGAAAGGGTAGGAGGGAGGGAGAAAAATTTGGAACTCAATATTTTGTAAAAATGAGTGTTAAAAATTGTCTTTACATATAATTGGAAAAATAAAATGCTATTTTAAAACAAAAAAAACATATCCAAAGCACCGCTAATATACTTCCTCAGGGTATTCATGCTCTATAATAAATGAAATAATAAATGAATATTAGTTGCCACTCAATTCCTCTCCCTTCCCTAAAAAACAACAAAAAAAACCCTATGATGGTTTTTGCCTGTTATCACTCTCTATGCCTGTTGAGAAGCATTTTTGTCAAATATTAAGAGGTGATGGGAGGTTGACTGTATTATATCATAGTAACTATCATCGAGGCTCCATCATCCTATAGCAAATGGCTGCAATGTTTTATAGAGTTATTCTTCCAAGTTGGCAACATCCAGAAAATTATTGCTGTCTATGAAAAGTAAGAAAAATGAAGAGGAAATACAAAAAGAAACAAAGCACCCAGATGGCAAGGTAGGAAACTGGAACCACCATTCCTCATCTGTTTGTGTGTGCGTGCGTGCGTGCGTGCGTGCATGTGTGTATGTGTTGTCATTCTACTTCATTCAGGTTGTCATGAGGACAGAAATTCAGAGCCAGCAAGTGTCTTCCAGCAGAAAAAAGGTTCCAGCATCATTACCTGCTCGCCTTTCTGTTACCAGAAAATCAGGCAGTCCCTTTTTTCAACAGGAAAACAATTTTCTTTTCTTTCTGCATTTACTTAATCTGCATTACTTGGTTCTAATTCTGCCCTCTCCACCACAATCACCCACATTCTCTACTGATCATTTAGAAGAGGATTTCAGTACCTGAAATAAAGTCCAATTTAATACTCTTGGATGCTGGAATCTCTCTCTCTCTCTCTCTCTCTCTCTCTCTCTCTCTCTCTCTCTCTGTCTGTCTCTCTCTCTCTCCCTCCCTCTCCTTCTCCCTCCCCCCCCATCTCATTTTTTCTCCCAACAAAGGGACAGACAGTTCATACAGCAGGAGCAGGGTATCTACACTGCTCCATATGCACTGGTGACTTCAGTGAGGGAACTCACTCTTAGCATAATAATTTTTCACATTTCTATAGCTAGCTGTTTGGAGTCTAAAACTCTTCCTCTTCACATCTGCCCTGTGAGAGGAAGTAGTAGCTAACATTCTCTAGCCCAGTGTTCATTCTTTCAATATTCTTGATCTTTAGCCTCTTGTCCGAACTTACAATGGCACAGCTCCAGTACTGGAAGGGAGCCTAGAGGTTCAATACAAATCCTGCCCTCCTCTCCCTTCTCATTTTATAGAAGAAGAAGCTGAGGTTCATGAAGGATAAATGACTTGTCCAAGATCACAAAATACTAAGTGGCAGTGGCACTCAGGTCTTCTGACTCCAAAACTAGTCTTTCCACTGTACCAAGCTTCCCTATAAAACAGAGGTTCTTAGGTTGTGTGTGGTCAATGTACTTATTTAAAAAAAATATTCTGATAACTGCAATTCAATGTAATTTTAAAAATCTTACATAGTTTAGTTTATGCTTTAAAATACTATTCTGAGAAGGGAGTCTTTTGACATCACTAGACTGCCAAAAGGACATAAAAATGGTTAAGAAATCTTTCTCTAGGTCACTGCTTCCATGCTATTTCCCATCCGTACTCCTCCCACTCTCCCCAGTTCCCCTGAGTCACCTCACCTGCTCTTCTCCTTACCTGCTATGACTTACTGTCTGTAGGTCTCCCCCTTTCCCATTGCTTTACATCTCCTAGATCATTTCCCTTTACTCCTCAACCCTGCCCCCACTTCTCCATCATTCTGTAGAAGAGAGATTAAGCTGTTTACTTGTTTCAGAGAATCTGAGAAATGGGTCACTGCCCTTATTTTATGCGGCCCTCATGTACCATAAGGGAGAAGTTATTAACGTCCGCTCAGAATCAACACTGGTTGAGCCCGTTCATCTTTGACAGAGATGAATACTGATAATTAAAAAACAATTTCTCTAGAACAGCACTAAACTAAATGTTGCTTAATGTATTTGGCATTCAGTTTGGGTTATTGGGGAGGGGACAGAAGGGAGGAGGAAGAAAGGAGGATTGGTCAGGATCCCAAGGTGATCATTTGTGAAACCATTGGGTTGGCCAGCAGGTGGTGCAAGTGGGCAAGTTTTGTTCCAAGACTGGTGGCTGACTTTTGGAGCAATTCGTAAGATTTTTATTTTATTATTTTTTTATTTTTTTGACTCCTTGTACATTTTCTCAGTTTCTACCAGAATTAACTTCTAAATTGCTAAATTGAAACTCAGGGAATCACATGATATACAGTGGAATTTAATTACCATGAACATGTCTCATCTCTGAGTTGGTCATTATGGGCCAGTGTAGCATAATTGGCATTAACTCTGAGTGGACCCTAGTCTGAGTCCTACTAATGATGTGTGTGACCTTGGTTGGGCAAAGGACCTAACCTCCACGAGTCTCAGTTTCCTCATATGTAAAATAGGAATACTAGTACTTCATATTACCTACCCCTGCAGAGCTGTTATGGAGAAAATATTTTGTTGGACTTCAAAATAATATATTGGTGTGACTTATTGTTATACTTCTAAAATTTGAAGTGACTTGAACTTGTGCATTAGTTCTAGTGACTATAATATTCTTTTCTTTCTATCTAAATTTCTTCTTGATGTGCAAAGATACCCTTAAGTAAAATCCTACAATAGGGAATTTGTTGTGATTGCTAAGTCAAACTCTGTGACTATTGTCCAGCGTAAATTCCTAGTATAACCCTAACTGCAGTTGAAGGCCCAGAGCAATGCTTGTATTTGTTTAATGTGATTAGTTTAACTTTGGACCAAAAAAAAGAAAAAGAGTACCAAAAGTAGCAAAAGAAAAATACATAAAGAGAAAGAAAAGATGGTCAGGGCAATATATGATGGTGGACCTTCCAACACCTTGACTTTCCAGTTCATCATTCTCCTGTGACTTCCATTTTGATTCTACTTCAGTGACCTACAAGAATTATTGATCACCTCTTAAACGCTGGTTTAATTGGAAACTGCTCTAAGATCCTGAACCCTGAAATTCCCCTTTCTGATTGTCATTTTGTGTCCTTGTGAAGTAACATGGTATAGTTGCTAGAATGCTGACATTGTAATCAGGAAGACCTGAGTTCAAATCCTGCCTCTGACTTTCAAGCTGACAAGTACTTCTGGGGGCCTGAAACATTGTAGAATCATTCTATCAATCTTTGATCAACTTTCTATCATATTCTTTCTTCCCACTTTATCTTTCACACGTCCAAAGCCATCTCTGTCATAATGCATCCTACCCTTCTTGCCAATTCTAATCTCTTCCCTTGATACTATTGCCTCAGTTTCCTCCAGGACCTTCCTCCATCATTCATTCTTATTCTGTCTCTCACTCCATCTCTCTTTGTCTCTCTCTGTCTCTCTTTCTGTCTCGCTCTGTGTATGTGTCTTCTGTCTGTCTGTCTGTCTCTCTTTCTTTCTTTCCTCCCTTCCTTCCTTCTTTGTTTCTTTCTTTGTTTCTTTGTCTTTCTTTGTCTCTGTCTCTGTCTCTCTGTCCTTCTGTCTCTCTTCCCCTCCTCTCTCTCTCCCCTCCTTCCCTCATTTTCTCCTCCTCTTCTCTTTCCCTCTACTTTTCTCTCCCTTCTTTTCCTTCACTCCTTCCTCACCACCTACTATAGATTCTCATATTCTTAGGCAACCTTCCTTTGAACTTGTTTTCCTTTGTGTTATTGTTCAAGATTTTTCCTCCTTTTCACTACTAAACCAGGTTGTCTGCCTCCATGTTCAGTGCTCTTTCCAGTAAGTCCCACTGGCCACACTGACTCAGGGCCTTTATTTCTGCATGAACACCTCCCATCCCCGGCTGTCTGGCTCCTCTTCTCACCACTCTGGTGAAGCTTCTTTCTCCAAGATTATCTGTCACTCTTTAATTTTCAAATCTAATAGCTTTTTCAGTCACTGGATAAAGGGTTTAGAGCTGGAAGGGACTTTGAAGGGTTATCTAGTCCAACCCCCTAATTTTATAGATGAGCAAACTAAGTTTAAATCCTTTTCCCCATGATTTTGCTGAAACATTTGACACTGCGGGTTCTGTCTTTCCTGACTCTATTTATGCAACACTCCTTTTACCTGGTATCCTCCTTCTGATCTGATCATTTCTCTTCCAGATCTATCCCTGGCTCATCTTCTTTCTCCTTTCCACGAGGCAAGGATATCCCCAGGGCTCTGTCTTCCACCCTCTCCCTACTCTCTATCTTTGCAGCCTTATCTGCTCTCATGGCATCACTATGAATTCAGATGACTCACAAACACACATATACACACACATGCACACACCTGTATATACAAATATACACACATGTATATGTACATGTTCACATCCTTAATACTTCAAGGACCCATGATGTCATCAGTGTAGGTACTCCTTTTGCTGCCACAAAAATCACAACCTCACTATAACAATAAAGGGTTGACAAGAGTTTCTGTGCCTAGGAAATTCATCACCCTATGGCCAATCTCGTGGTGAATCTCTCCAAATTGGTTTGGCTGATCATAAGACAATGGGCTTGTCCCTGAAACCATGTAATTTGGTGGGACCTACCTACACACATACACGCACATGTCGAGAGGATAAGTATATGTGTATATTTATATATACATATCTATACATCTATATATGACAGTGTTGTATAATAAATAGAGTGATACACTTGGAATTAGAAAGACCTGGTTTCAAATCCCATTTTTGACATTTATTACCTGTGTGACCTTGGGTCAATTATTTAAATTATCTGAGCCAGAGGTGACAATTAAGTTCCAGATGTAGATCTGTATCAGAGGAGGGAGTTCCCATACCAAGGACATCATGGGTCCTTGGCATGTATGAGTATGTCTGTGTGTATGCACACATGTACACACACACATATATATATATAAAACACATACGTATGTAGACACATATGTTTACCTTAAAGCCAATAGGTCCAGAATTAAGCTTATTATTTTCCCTGTAAAACTTAGCCTCTTCCCAACTTCTCCCTTTCTATTGATGGTAGTACAATTTTCCTAGTCACCTAGGTTTGAAACTTCAGTTATCTTTGACTCTCCCTCTCTAGCCCCTCCTTCCCCAAACTTCCAAATACTTAAATCCGATTCACTTGCAAGTCACGGCATCACCTTCCTGATGTCATGGTCCTCTTCAAGAATGAAGGACAAAACAACCATTAGTTGCCAAGTTCTACTGATTCTTCCTTTTAAATAGCTCTTGAATTTATCATTTTCTCTCCATCATACTATGGGAAAGGGAAGGAAGGAGGAGAAAATAAGCATTTTTATAGTGTCTGCTCTGTGCCAGGCACTGTGCCACGTGCTTCACAAATATTATCTCAGTTGATCCTCTCAACCTGGGAAGTAGGTGCTATTGTGAGTCCCATTTTACATTTGAGGAAATTGAAGCAAACAATCAGAAGTTTTAAGTGACTTGCCAAGGGTCACACAATTAGTAAGTGTTTGAAGCCAGATTTGAACTCAGGTCTTCCTCACTCCAGACCCAACATTCCATCCACTGCATTACCAGCTTCATCCCATCCTGGCACCACCTGAGTTCAATTCTTTATTATCTCTTGCCTGAACTATAAAAACAATCAAATGTTTAACTGGTCTTCCAGCCTGTACTTCTATATGAACAATATGCACACACACAGACACATAATTACAAATGAAGTATAATATAGTTATAGAAAGATACAATCACCATCTGCCATTTAAGATTTTTCACTGTCTGGTTTCAGCCTGCTCTTCCTGCCTCATTTCGTGCTACTTTCCACTATATAACAATCATATATGTTCTCACCATATTGGACTGTTAGCTGTTCCTCGATTTCTTTCTTTTGAAGTCTTCTTCCTTCAAGGCTTAGTCACTTCCTCCATGAAGCTTCCCCTGATCCTTCATCTCCACCATCAGGAAATTTTCTCTTCACCCAGTTTTTCTTGCAGTACTTTACTTGTATCTCTCCTTTGTCCTTACCATATTCTCCTTTGTATCACATCAAATTGTTTGTTGTAACACCCCCCCCCTCCAATAGCATATAAGCACCTTTAAGCAAGGAACTAGGTTTTTCGTCTTTGTATCTCCAATGCTTGGCACAGTGCCTTGAATATTGAGTAGGGTACTTAATAAGTGTTGATTTGGCTTGAATTGGTTCACCAGAATTCAATGATCACACATTTTCTAGGTTACATAGAAACCAGAACGGACAAATATCTTGTGGGGAAAAAACCCCCATAAAAAATTAGTCAGACATACTGACCTTTTCTCATTGTGTGTCAGCCACATTTAGTGATACATGTTTTGAATTAATGCATTTAATGAGTATGTCCTTGGTGTTACATATTCATGCTGCTATCACACAGCTACTAAGTTCTGACAGTACTATGCATGTAGTAGGTACTTGGCAAATGTTTGTTGAATAAATTAATGGGTGAGTCAAGTTGCAAAAGCCTCCTCCTGCACTGGTTTCCATGTGTCAGCTTTCTTTTTTCCCCACAAAGGTGGAATGGAAATTTTCAGATGGACGGAAAACAATCGCTTTCCCCAATGGTACCAAGAAGGAGATCAGTGCTGATAAGAAAACAACTATTGTGACGTTTCCAAATGGAGACCTGCAGAAGTTCATGCCTGAGCAGAGAGTGGTATGTAAATGTTTTTGTTTTTTAATGATCTTTTCAAAACTTGAGGAAAAACAAACAAACTCTATACATAGTCTAGCTAGGTAGCGTTGTAGACAGAGTGTCAGGCCTGAAGTCAGGAAGACTCATCTTCATGAGTTCAAACTCAACCTTAGACACTAGCTGTGTGACCCTGGCAAGTCACTTAACCCTGTTTGCCTCAGTTTCTTCATCTGTAAAATGAACTGAAGAAGGAAGTGGTAAACCACTCCATTAAATTTGCTAAGAAAACCCCAAATGGGGTCACAGAGAGTTGCATGTGACTGAAAATGACTGAACAACAACAAATACATAGACCAATTCTTTTCTCAAACTTCAGTTTGGTTTCTAACTCTCTTTTTGAATATGCTTTTCTTTTTTCTTCTAAGGATGTCCCTGTTTTCCAGTCCCTCAGGTTTTTTTCATTTCTACTTGTTCTACCCTTCAGCTGATTGGCTGATCTCTTCCCTTTTCTAGCAGGGAGGGCTAAAGGTTAACGCAAGATTCACCTGGTGCAAGACTTTGGGAAGATGTACTGTGTTGTATGCAATAGATTTGGAGTCAAAGGACCTAGTTGCAAATGCTGACCTTGCCACTCATTACCTTTGCAATCTTGGGCAGGTCATCTTTGTGAGTTCCAGTTTCCTCTCTGTATAACAGAGCCATTAAAACTTACATTTACTACTTATCTTACTAGGGTATTATGAGGACCAAATGAAATAATCACGGAAAGCATGATGTCAACATGAAGCATTAAATTATTATGATTACTTGTATAGCTTCTGAAATCTAAGCTCTGGCTTTTTGGTTTTTCATTCATGCCACAGGACCGGAAAATGTAGGGAAGTATTAGGAAGAAAGACCAGTGAGATATGAAGCCAAAAACGCTATTTCATTTCAGGAGAGCTTAAAATCACCCTCTTATTTATTTATTTGTTTATTGTGCATCTTGAACAAGACATTTCCTCTTTCTCTACCTTAGCTGCTTCATCTTAAAATGAGGGGGTTGGACTATGAAATTACCTCCAAGCTCCCTTTCAGATTTAACAATGTCCATTGCCCATACCAGTTTGAAACTACCATGGTTGACTGATTACATCCTTGTTGTCTTTTCCCTTTTAAATGTGATCAATTCATACTATCCTCTTCATTTGGTATATTTTTGAAGAAAAAATCTTGTGATTAGTTGAAGTCACTCATGAGCACTAGCAGAGAAAAAAAATGGAAATGACCAAAAAAGGGGCTATGAGTGACATTGCAGTGAGATTTAGTGTTAACGACTTCTCTCTGACATGTTATAGCACTTTTTATCATATAATCATCATATTTCATCATCATCATCATCAAATAAACTACCTTTATTAGAAATTCAAATATGAGAAATTCTCTTTGTATCTCTACAATGATCATTTCAATTCGTGTGCAGGTGTTGTCTAATTAGAATGCAATTAGAATCCTGTTGGCAATGACTTAATAGGGAAAAGAATCATCATTTCTCCCTATCCCAATGAGGTTTGTAGGCTGGTTGAACTGGATTTAATTTTTATTTCATTTTTGAATCAGGAAGAGATGCTATGTGTTTGTACTTCTTATTTCTTACTGTACTAGACTCAGGGATGGGGAACCTGCAGCCTCGTGGCCACATGTGACTTTTTGGGTTCTCAAGTGCAGCCCTTTGACTGAATCCAAACTTCACAGAACAAATCCCCTTAGTAAAAGGATTTGTTCTGTAAAACTTGGATTCAGTTAAAGAGCCCCATCCAAGGACCTAGAAGGCCACATGTGGCCTCAAGACCTCAGGTTCCCCACCCCTGGTCTAACCTGATGGTTTCTGGCCTTAGGAATCTCGCTCCATCTCTTGGTGCTTTCCTTCAGAAAAGAGGAGCCTGGTTCTGAAAGATGTGCATAAGTTCAGACACATTTTGAAAGAGTGTCAGGCTCTGCCTTGTTCTAGTTTCATTTGAGTTGCCCAGGAACCATAATCAGGAACCATGAACTTCTATAGCTTCATCAACTTGACTGGCAAGGTCTGGATTGGTCACTCAAGTGCCATGTTTGGAGCTTCTTTTCCTATCATGCACATCTCTAGGGAATGATGGTCAAAACTTAGAGGTGCCAGGATCATGGATTGAGAGCTGGAAAGAACCTTGGAAGCCACTGAGACCAACCCATTCATCTTACAGATAAGGAAACTGAGGCCAGCAGAGCTTAAGTCACCTGAGCAGGGTCAAACATCTGGTAAATATCTGAGGCAGCATTCAATCTTGTCCCTTTCTGAACTCCACGTCCAGTTTTCTATCCATCATGCCGGCTGAGACAGCACCTAGTCCTGTCTTCAAATTTTACAGATGAGGAGATCAAGATTGAGAAAGCTGCAGCAACTTGTTTATGGTCACACAGCTAGTTATAGGAGGAGCCAGGACTATCACTCAAGACTTGGGACTTCCAGTTTATTATAGGATGCTGTTTCCTCTCTTTAGACCTGGTTGCCTGCATGGAGATTATAATGGGAACCTGCAGGGAAAGCATTTGTCCCTTTGAATGGATGAAGCCCAGAATTAAAACAAATACTCTCAAAACCTTCTTGTAACACATGTGTTGTACTTTCAGCTTTATTATTATGCAGATGCTCAAACAACCCACACCACTTATCCTGATGGTCTGGAAGTGCTACAATTTCCTAATAAGCAGATTGGTAAGTGATAGACTGACCCTTGAGGTCAAGGTTACTTTATTAATATATTTTTTCTTAGATTCTTTTTCCTGTTGGCTTATCCTGAAAATATTCCTTATAGAATGTTTATAGAAAGGGGGAGGAATTGCCGTGTGTTTTCTTGTAATGGGAAAAAATAGTCATTTAGCAAAAAAAAAAAAAGCAGCAGAGGGTAAAAAATATATGAATAGTACATGTGGGCATGATAGGGCTGGCTGAGCATATGGACAGCAGAAATAGAGGTATCTAGGCCAGGTCTACAAAATTGTAATGATGGAAATAGATTTGACCTTTATCAACTGAGACAATTAAGCGAAAAAATAAGTTTGAGGTCCTCAGTTATTCTAATGACTTCAAATTTCTTAAATGACTGCTCAGCTCTCTGTTTTACTTCGGATGCACAGAGGTAGACAGATGACAGTGTTGTGGCAGAGGCACTTGAGGAGATGGTGTTATCATGGCATCAGCTTTCATGTGGCATGGTACATAGGCTCTTCACCAATGGGCTCAATTTAGAGGTATCATATGCAAAATACACCAAGGAAATGGTGCTTGCTGCCAGCATTTGCAAATAATATAATTCACTGTACATCTGCAGAAGTGACCTTTAAAGCCATCTTTCTTTACCCCTTATAAATTCAAAGCCATCTGTAGCACAGGCCCTGGGACTTAGTCTTCCAAACCCTACTTGCACTGGCCATGTGGCCAACCCCCAGAGCATGGTTTCTACTTTTCACCTCAGAGTTCTAGGAGTAGCCCTAAGGGGTTAGGGGATGTGTTTTTCTAAGAAAGACTCATGAGCTCCCTCCCATCAGTGTGTTTCCCACCTTGTGATTATTATTTGTTATCAGTCACCTGGCAGAATTACTTTTTAAAAAGGGGTATTCACTGAAGTGGGTATAGTTAGAACAACTGGTACAAAACATTCCCTCCCCCCAAACTCCAAAACTCTAGCACTCTCTCCTACTAGTACATATGAAGTACAGGGCATAAGGCTCAAGTTTAGAAGGTATGAAGAGTCAAAATGCTTTGGTCCTTGAAGTTCAAAGATGGGAGACAGGAGACTGAGGCCAACCCAAAGGTCAAGGCTGGGGTTCTTTTTCTCCATCGTCCCATCCTCCAGGGATTTGTTCTTGGGGGTTTGGCTGGAATGTTCTCTCTCAACTACCCACTCACTTGAATCCTTGATATCCAACCATCTCACTGGTCTTACATAAGCCCCACTGGGCTTGACTAAGTCCCTCAACCATTCTAAACGATGCCAACATACAGCTCTCCCATCTATACATTGATTCATTTCATAGAATCATAAATTTAGAACTGGACTGGACTGGAAACTGGACTGGAGACCATTGAGTCCAAACCCCTCATTTTTACAGATGAGGAAAGTGAAGCATAGGGAGAAGGAAGGAAAGAAGAACAAGGGAAGTGAGCAAGCATTTATTAAGTGCCTACTATGTGCCAGGCACTTTACTGATATTATCTCATTTGATCCTCCCAGCAATCCTGGGAGGTAGGTGCTATTATTGTCCCTATTTTACAGTTGAGGAAACTGAGGCAAACAGACGTCAAGTGACTTTTCCAAAGGTGCACAATTAACGTCTGAGGTGGAGTTGTACCTCAGGTCTTCTTGACTTCAGGTCCAGCACTCTATCTACTGTGCCACCCAATCGCCTAGGCATAGAGGGTTTCAGTGACTTGCCCAGAGTTCATTATAATCACCAGTCGGTCATCTGCCAGTAGTTTAGCACCTCTATTTGATTTAAGGAATTTTTTTTAAAGCACATTCATAGAAAAAAATACATTTCAAGTCTTCTTCATTGGGTTCCCCTTGTAGCTATTCCTTTATTACATTGAATCTAATGAGGGCATAATCTTACACTTAACTTTTAATTTTTAAGAAAGCATCTGCTTGGTTCCAGAGACAGTGGCCACAGTGAAAAAGTCATGTATTTCTTCTTGGTTTAAATGAGTCCATGGAAAGCTCACTGGATGCAGAGTGAGGTCAGCACTGGATCATGTGTTTACCATTGTGTTTACTTCCTCTGCCTGGACCACACTTCAGTGTTACAGAGAAAATGGGTACTTCCAAAGTACGAACTCTATGGGGCAATTGTGGCTGGTGGGGAGGTGATCTATTCTCTCACTACATCTGATGACAAAAATACATTTTCCCTCATGGTAACTTTGGCGCTAAAACACTGACCAATTAAAAAGAAAAACTATGCAGTGCAGCTAATTAGAGTGAACATGAGATTTCATTTCTTTGCTGCTTTGGTATTCAGTTCCTAGTATTAAAACAAACGAACAAACAAAAAATCTTTAATGCCACTAATAATAATTGCCATTATTATTAAGGCTGACATTTATGTGGCATTTTAAGGTACCTAAGGCACTTTCCGTAAGTTATTGAAATGGATCTTTAAGAACAACTGTGAGAGTGGTTCTACAGGTCACTTTAATCTCTATTTCATGGATAAAGGAATGACAAATAGCAGCAGCAGAAGGCGTCAGTTTTTAATGAGAATAGAAATGCAGGAAGAACTTGATTTAGGGCCGTAGGATGTCCCAAGAGCATGTGACAAGTTATTTCTGAGGAAAATACTGCTGAAAACAAGAGCAGATCCTGCTTCTTGAATTCTCATTTTCTTTAAGTAAAAATCATAATCATAATCAAAATCATAGTTAACATTTAAATACTGTCTACTATTATCTCATTTTATCCTCAAAACAACCCTAGGAGATAAATACTACCATTATTCCCATTTTACAGATGAGGAAACTGAAGTAAACAGAGGTTGAGTCACTTGCCAAGGGTTACACAGCTAGTAGTGGAGATGTTGGAGGCTCCAAACTCTAGACCCAACTCTCCAGTACCTGTACAGGTTGGATAAATACTTGCCAGGGCCTATAGAGTTCCTGATTAAGCCTGAGTAAGACTGGATAACCTCTCAGGTCCATTCCAACTTCAAGTTAGCATTCATTTGAATGTGTAAATTCTGTTACATTTGCTCAAGTATGCATCTTCTTCCTTCCCAATCACACCTTGGAGACAGAATTTTGGGCTCGCCATATGCTTCACAGTTTTGAGGTGTATTGGTTTTGGTCATCCCATTCTTCAAGTGAGAAAACTTAGATTTAAACAAGTGCTTTTTCTTCTTCATGAAAATCCTGATGCCTCACTAGGATATGGAGGTGACCTCCGGGGTCTTGAAGCCTTTGTTAGGGGGTTCCAAACTCTGGCAGGCCCCACCAAACCGAAAATATTTTCAGCTGGTGACCCATGGACTGCATGTCTGTTGTCTAAGACCGGCCTAGATAGGTTTGGACAGGTTTACTTCTGAGTGATTTGTTTTTGTTTTTGTTTTCAGCCAAGACATTCCAGCTAGGACCATCATGAGGTTATGATCTATGTTGGTGGAAGGAGTGTCTGTGCCAACAAAATCATAGATTCTTGAAATGTTGGAAGTTAAAAAAATGTATAAGACTTGGATAAACTCACACAGTGAAACCCTTTGTGTGTCACATTCATTGTGTGAATCTCAGTGGCTCTTGGCCTAAGCATGTTTCTTTGTGTTTGAGCCACCTGAAGTCATAACCTGTTGTTAACTCCTCCCTCTGCATTTCTAAATTTTTGAATGCTGTTTATTTATTTATTACAAAAAAAGAACCATTCTGTACCTGTTGACTTGCTTGTTGCATGTAACTGCTAGAGAAAGCAGTAAGAGAAAGCTCTGTGGCTCTAGATTTTATGCTAAATCCTTTCTAGCCATTATACTGTATATGCTGTTCAGGCCATCCTTACTGTAAATAATGTGCATGTAAACTTTTTTTTTTTTCTGACATTGGCAAATCCAGTAGAGGAATGAAGCCTTTCTCATTGTCTTCTTCAAAACAAGAACCATGAACTTGTTTTCTTTGTTTCTGCCCTTCCTGTCATTTCTTTCTCCTTCCTGTCCTTAACTTTCAGCCTATGTGGTTATGTGCCTGATTCAACTTTTAACTCTGGCAGTATGTCACATATGGGGTGGGCCAAACTCAGAAGAAGGCATGAGAAACGTTTCAGCCTCCATCAGAGTCAAGGCAAAGGACTCCTCTTAGTGATCTTAAGCAAATCACTGAAAATGAAGGATTAGACTTCCTGGCTCACAGCTGCCATGGAGGATGATTGATTAACGTTAATTCAGTTCTCTTGAAAATGATAAGTACTTTATAGACCTAGATTTTCTTTCTGTCACTGAACCTTTTAAACTGTCTGAGTCTTAGCTTATCCAGCTGTAAAATTGTCGCCAAATTACTCCATAGGAATTTTAAGTGGTGTTACTGTTCTTTGGCGAATTTTAGGAGGGAAAGTCACGGGGATGATGAATAGAAAACCAGGGCAGTCAGTTGACATGCCTTTTTTGAAGCAATGGTAATGCTGAGTTGATTATAATTCCCAGGGCAAGAGGTAAAGGGAATGGTATACGTGCTCAAAGGCAGTTTGGAAAATGACTGAGTTGGAAAAGCATGCTTATACCTGGAACTGCAGGGATACAGGGAATCCCCAGTGTGTAAACTCTCTATACTAATACAGATTAGCATTTGTCTTTCACTTAAAGTCTTAGAGAATCACCTAGGGGGCACTAATAGATTAAATTATCTGACCATGGCAACATTTCCATTACGCGTCAAAGGAAAACCTTGAATGTAGGTCTTAGCTCTAAGACCAGTCTTCTACCACTATGTCACACTGCCTCTATTTCTTCTCCTGATTGAGGTTGGTATTAGAAACATGGATTTAGAATCAAGAGAGACCTCAGAGGATATCTAGTCCAATTTATTTTGCAGATAAGAAAAATGGGATCCAGAGATATTAAGCGATGCCTCTTCTGTCACATAAGATGTAAAAGACAGATTGCCTAACTCCAAATCCAGTCATTTACCTTGCACTATGCTGCTTCCCTATGCTTATCTCTGTCAAGCCTTCTTCAAAACTAAATTTGAGGGGGCAGCTAGGTGGCGTAGTAGATAGAGCACCAGCCCTGAAGTCAGGAGGTCCTGAGTTCAAATCTGACCTCAGACCAAACTCTTGACACTTACTAGCTGTGTGACCCTGGGCAATTGCCTAAAAAAATAAAAAAAAAAATAAAACTGAATCTGATCATTTGCCCTAAGTAATTCTTGACATGAGAGATAACAAAGTGGATAGCGGCAATCAATTGACATGCTGTTTCCAGAACCAATACTAGTGTTGATTTGATTACAGTTCACAGAGCAAGAGGTGGAGGGGGTAGTGTCAACCTGCCTAATGGCAGGTTGGAAAATAGCTGGGGTGAAGGAACTTCATGGTTTGGGAAGGCCCAGGCAAAAGTTGGCTGCTTATGACTTGTTCAACCTCACACAACTAGTTAGTGGCAGAGATAGGATTTAACCTCCAGTCTCCTGACTTCTGGTGCAGTGCTCATCCTCCCAAACCACACTGCCTATAAGTAGCACAGGGGCTGAGAGAGAAAACTGACCAGGGTAGGCAATGAGGGTTTTACAGAGCAGTTGAATTGGACTGGAACTTAATGGACAAATTAGATTTTAGCAGGAGAAAAGTTAGGACGTTTCGGATGAGTATAAAATATCAGTAGAGGAAATAGGTCTGGTGTTATGGAAAGATGTTGGATCTGGAAGTGGAATATGAGCTTTGCCACCTGTATCATTTGAAAGAAGTCATTTAGCTTTTTGGGACTTCAGTTTCCTCACTTGTCACACAAGGGGGTTGGAGTGGATAATCCTTCAGGTGGACTTCTGATGATGCAGGAGAGTTTGAGGTGTGATTTGGGGTGGGTAAGTATTTCATTTGGCAGGACTGGCAGGTCGCCTGTGGAGATAAGGAGAGGCAAGGTGGGATTGGAGACTAAAACAAAAAAAAAATAGGTTGGATCTGGATTTTGGAGGAATTTGAAAGCCACATTTAAGAATTTGGGCTGCATCATATAGGCATTGGGAATTGATTAGAGATTTTTAAGTTGGAGTGACTCCACGAGAGTATAAATTTACTATGTTTTACATGAGTTCACATGTATAATGGGTATCACATTAGAGAACGTGGAACTCAAAATTTTAAAAAAGAACATTTACAAAAAAAAAAAAGAAAAAAGGGTATAAATTTAGGATATGTCTCATGCAGGAATTCCTGGCTAATTACATTGCAATACTACAAGCATGCTCTTTAATTCTAAAGCATTTTTTAAAATGGTAAATTTTGTGCTTTTCAAGATACATGCCCTTCAACTTTTTCTTAGAGGCAGTCAAACTATAAATCAATCCCTCTGTTCCTGACAATGTCCTAAAAAGTACAATTCATGAAATTGCTCAAGAAAAAATGGACTCAATTTAATATACTTACACTGTTTAAAAAATTGCTTCCTGTAGAAAAACACCATCCCAACGGCACTAAGGAGATTGTGTTTCCAGATGGGACAGTGAAACACCTCGGTGTCACCCATGAGAAGACAGTGTTCCCCGATGGCACATTGGTGAAAGTAGAAAGGTTAGCATTGTGAGTTTATGGAAATCTAAGGCACCATTTTCTGTTTTCCTTCTACTCTTTTTTCTTTTTATTCCCTTAGGTATTGGTGGAAAATTCAAATTAGCAATCATTCAAAAAGCATTTATCAAGTGCTTACTATGTACCAGGCACTGTATATGGTGGGGATACAAAAAAAGATTAACAGTCCCTGCCTTCAAGTGGCATACATTCTAATGAGGGAGACAGAATGTAAATTGCTAAGGATGAGACATATACTGGAGAAGGAAGTGGCAAGCTGCTCTGGTATCCTTGCCAAGAAAACACCTTGGACAAATTGGTCCATGGGGTCACAAAGAGTCGAACATGACTGAGTGACTGAACAGCAATAGGAGTAGGTAAAAATGCCTCCCTAAGGGGTGTGAGGGGACTGGGGAAAAGTCTCCTATAGAAGACGAGATTTGAACTGAGATTTGAAGGAAGCCAGGAAAACTAAGAGGACAAGGTAGAGTGGCTGAGCATTTCAGGTGAAGAAAGTATCATTTTTCATGGGTGTAACCAGGACTATCCATTGTGCAGGGGATCAAAACAAGGCTGTCACAGGCCAGTTCCTGTTACCTGGCTAAGAGCAAAGGTAGAGAAAAAGTAACATGAATTCTGGAGGATTTCTTTTATTCTGTTGTTCGTGTGCTATTGTGGACCTTGTCTGAGTCACTCAACACCCATTTAGAAAATGGGTGTTCAGTAAATATTATCTAACATTTATTTCATTGTCGATTGCCATGTTTAAAGTTTCTTCAATGAAAAGTAAAGCCAGATTTTAAACCATTACCTACCTGAAGCATATCTGAGAAAATCTGTGATCAGTTTTGGTTAAATTCATTAAATGTGATTAATAAGTATGATTAATAATATAAATGTATTGTTGTTGTTAAATTTGTTTTTGTGTCTGACTCTTTGTGACCCCATTTGTGGTTTTCTTGGCAAAGATACTGGAGTGGTTTGCCATTTCTTTCTCTAGATTATTTTACAGATGAGGAAACTGAGGCAAATAGGGTGAAGTGACTTGCCCAGGGTCACACAGTTAGTAAGTACCTGAGGCCTGATTTGAACTTAGGAAGATGAGTCTTCCTGACTCCAGGCTAAGCACTATCCGCTGTACCATCTAGCTACCCCATTTATATAAATTAAATACCTATAATAAATATGGTTAATTTTTTAAAATATGCAGTGAAAGAATTGATCATTTTCAATTTGATGATGTGACAATTTTTAACACCAAATGATTCTGTGAGCTCCTAAGAACACCTAAGATACTGTATGAGGAAAGCAGGTCTATGTAGCAGTGATATCTCCCACCTATTTCTGTATAGTTTTAGTATTGGCTACTATACCAAGCATTTTATAAGACTAATTTTCTCCCATTAGGAATGGAGATAAAACCATTATATTCAGTAATGGGCAGAAGGAGATCCACACTTCACAATTCAAGAGGAGGGAATTCCCTGATGGTACCGTCAAGACTGTATATAACACTGGCCATCAGGAAACGAAGTATATGTCGGGCAGGGTTCGAATCAAAGATGAAACAGGAAAGACCATCCTTGACAAGAAGTGATTTGCCTCTTCTGCGTGTAAAATTATGTAGGCAATTCAGATTACTTTTTATTCAGATTTTCTTTCATTTTTTTTTTAGCCGTCTGACCAGAGAGGAGACATAGGTAAGGGCCTATCAGGAGAGGGGTATGAGAGATCTCAAACCCAATTAATTATGTAGAAATTTTTAAAAGAAAAAATGATTCCCTTAGTTCTCCATTTGGAAGGAAAAAAAAAGGTGGTTAAAATAACGCTCTTGAGTCAACTTCTTGTTCCCAAGGCAATCGCTCCTGGTCCACTCTAGGTCATTTATTCTTTGGTGACCAGATGCGCCTGCTGTTGGAACACCTTGCTGAGCTCCCTTCTTCTGCCATGCTTTACTTGGACTCACCACTTCTGTTTACTTTGTTCATTCATCCCAAAACAAGTGAATTTAGCCTTTTTCAAATCCTGCCTCGTTAGGAGCTGTCTAAACAGCAATGCCTGTCTTATTTCCAGAGCTACATTTTTGTACTTGGCTCCAAACACAGTGAACAGATTGAAGGAGCTTTAAACAGTCTTGTAGCAACACCTGTCAGGAGCTCCAGGCTTAACCACCTCTCGCACTTTACCTTTAATTCTCTGGCAGCCATTTATCCTCTTAGCAACTTCATTCTTAATCCCAAGTGTGAAAATGATTGCATGATTTTTACTAACCTTACAATTTTGATTCCATTTTAAGCAACGCATAGAATGCAGAAATAAACTACTTTTTTTTTTTCTGAAACAATTAGAGCCCAGAAAATGTAGGAAATGAATAACTTCCTGTAAATGTCATCACCGATGACAGGATGTGGCCAGACATGAGTTGCTGAATATGCACTCTTGTATATTTTTATGTGAAACCAGATGTGATAATGTATTTTCATGACGATAATCATCTTGGCCCTGGGTGTATATTGTGTCCATACTGCTGTGTTCTTTTAAGATACTCTTGTATTATTTAAAGAAACTAAAAATCAACCTTCTGTCTTGTTATGAGAAATAGAATTCTTGTTTTATTGGTGCAAGGTTACTGCCATGTCGTTGTAGGTGGATGCTGAGAGTTCATTTGTCAGAAATAACAGGCACAAATAATTCTAAAAACCTTTTTGCATTTGAACTGAGATAATACTTTGATTAGTCAGAAATCAGCCCTTTTTTCAAATTGTCCTTCAAAAAGGCACAAGGAGCTCTCGTGAATCACCTGATTTCTAATTGTCTTGTAGCATGCTAAGAGTTGAAAACCCAAGTGTGGTTTAACCAGAAAGCCACATTCAACCCTCATGGAATCTACCTGAGTGACAGGGCTCATCAAATACGATCTCCACCACCCTGCAGAATGTATAAAACCTCTCCTGGAGATGAAAATGGCCCAATAGAAGCATTCTGTTTTCAAACATATGCTGGTTAGAAATCTTTAAAAAAATTGTAAAAGCTTCCATTTGTTTAGTATCATCCTGAATTCTTGATTTTGGCTCACATATGTAAAAATGAGCTTGGAAGGGGCTTCTGTGCATATATGCTGATGAACTGTAGACTATAAGATTTTGAGTCATCAGAAGAGAGCCATTACATTAATTACAGACAAAAATTATCCTGGTTTGGAGAGAGAAATAATGTTACATATTCACCAATAAAGAGACATTGATAATCTAGGGGAAGGAGCAATAGCCTTGGAGGAGACCCTGGCAAAAGCTTGACCAAACCCAGCTAAGTGTGCAATCTTGGGAAAGTTTCTTACCTGCTCTATACTTCACTTCCCCTGTTTTTAAAAGACTGAGGTCATACTTGTTTCACAGGGATAAAGGGAGGATGAATGGTAGCTTCGTGAACACTTTTTGAAGAAAAGGCATCACATTTAATCAAGTTATCTACTTTATTTGGCCCTGAAAGGATGAGATAGTTGCAGTCAACCCTAAGAGTGGTTTCTATGACAACAACAACAACAACAACAACAACAATAAAACTCGTAGCTCCCCCTTGCCCATATCTTTGACATGGCACTTCAAGCCAGTGAAACTTGCCATGTAGCCTGGAAAGAGGGTATTGGGGACTACACAATATCAAGGAGCAGTAACCTTCCATTATAAACAGATTTACCACCTGTTTTCATTCAGTTCAATTCCATGAGCATGCTCATTCCATGAGCATGTATATATGCACAGAAACATATATATGTGTATATATATATATATATATATACATGTGTGAGTGTGTGTGTGTGTGTGTGTGTGTTTGGCACTGTGTTAGGCTGTGAGAAGCAAAGACAAAATTGAAACAGTCCGTGCCCTCAAGGAGCTTGTATTCTATTGGAGGGGCACACACAGATAAGCAAAAGCAAAATATATATGCAAAATAAATATGAAGTATTTGGGCAGGCGAAAAACAAGTAGAGTCAGGGAAGATATTTTGTAACAGGTGATCCTCAAGCTGAGTCTTGAATTGCAAAAAAAATCAGGGGCTCCAAGATGTGGAGCTGAAGAAGGAGAACATTCTGGGTATGAGGGATAGTCTGTACTATAACAAGGAGTACGGAATGTCACAAATCAGGAACACATAGATTGCCAGTTCTAGCACTTTCTTGCAAAGTAAGTTCAGATCCAGCGGAGAAGCCAGGACAACAGCACCAAGAGGAAGGGTAAGGATGTTCTCCCTTCCTCAGATGGAAGATCGCCAATCTCATCATGACCTGATTCCAACCTTTTTTCCTCTGATGTTATTTTTCACTACTACTCTTTTTTTCACTTTTTTTATTTTTAACATGTGTTTTTAAAACTTTGGGTTACAAATTTTCTCCCTTCCTCCCTCCCCACCCACCCTCATTGAAAAGGCAAGCATCTCGATACAGGTTATAGATGTGTAGTCATGCAATACACTTCCATAATAGTCTTGTGAAAAACTAAGTATATTTCCCTTCATCCTATCCTACACCCCATTTATTCTATTCTCTTTTGACCCTGTCCCTCCTCAGAAGTGTTTGCTTTTGATTATCCCCTCCTCCAATCTGCCCTCCCCTCCATCATCCCCCTGCTCTCTTGTTCCCTTCCCCCCTTATTTTCCTGTAGGGTAAGATAGATTTCCATACCCCATTGTGCATGTTATTCCCTCCTTAAGCCAAATCCTATGAGAATAAGATTCACTCATTCCCTCTCACCTTCCCCGATTTCCCCTCCACTGTAAAAGCCTTTTCTTGTCTGTTTCATGTGAGATATTTTACCTCATTCTACTACTCCCTTTGTTCTTCTCTCAGTATAATCCTCTCTCACCCCTTAATTTTATTTTCCAGATGTCACCCTTCATCTTTAACTCACCCTGTGCCCTCTATCTATCTATCTATCTATACATACATATAATTTTTCCCTCCCACTACCCTAATACTGATAAAGGACTCATGAGTTACAAATATCATCTTTCCCTGCAGGAATGTAAACAGTTCAACTTTAATAAGTCTCTTATGATTTCTCTTTCCTGTTTACCTCTTCCATGTTTCACTTCAGTCTTGTATTTGAAGGTCAAATTTTCTATTCAGCTCTGGTCTTTCCCACAGGAATGTTTGAAAGTCTCCTATTTCATTGAATTACCATTTTTTATCCTGAAGGATTATACTCAGTTTTGCTGGGTAGGTAGTTCTTGGTTGTAATCCTATCACCTTTGCCCTCCGGAATATCATACTCCATGTCTTTCCGACCGTAATGTAGAATCTGTTAAATCTTGTGTTATGCTGATTGTGTTTCCACAATACTTGAATTGTTTCCTTCTGGCTGCTTGCAATATCTTCTCCTTGACCTGGGAATTCTGGAATTTGGCTACAACATTCCTAGGAGTTTTCCTTTGGGGATCTCTTTCAGGAGGTGATTGATGGATTCTTTCGATTTCTATTTTGCCCTCTGGTTCTAAAATATCAGGGCAGTTTTCCTGGATAATTTCTTGAAAGATGATGTCTAGGTTCTTTTTTTAATCATGGTTTTCAGATAGTCCAATAATTTTTAAGTTCTCTCTCCTGGATCTATTTTCCAGGTCAGTTGTTTTTCCAATGAGATATTTCACATCTTCTATTTTTTCATTCCTTTTGATTAGTGTTACAGTGCTTTGATTTCTCAAACTGTTACTAGCTTCTAATTTCTCCATTCTAATTTTTAAGGAGGTATTTTCTTCAGTAAGCTTTTGGACTTCCTTTTCCATTTGGCCAATTTTGCTTTGTAGGGCATTCTTCTCCTCATTGGCTTTTTGGACTTCTTTTGCCATTTGGGTTAGGCTATTTTTTAAGGTGTTATTTTCTTCAGTACTTTTTTGGGTCTCCTTTAGCATCACTCTCAAATTTTCCTCTAATTCTCTTTCTTGCTTCTCAAAATCCTTTTTGAGCTCTTCCATGGCCTGGGACCAATTCATATTTTTCTTGGAGGCTTTGGATGTAGGAGCTTTGGCTTCATTGTCTTGTTCTGGTTGCATGTTTTGATCTTCTTTGTCACCAAAGAACAATTTTATGGTCTGACTCTTTTTGCGCTGCTTGCTCATGATATCAGCCAATTACTTGAGTTATAAACTCTTTGTTAAGGTAGGAGTCTGTTTGCAGTGTGGAGAATGGACTGTCCCAAGCTTTGGGGGTTTTGTGCAGCTGTTTTCAGAGATACTTCTAGGGACCTGTAAATTTTCAGTTCTTCCAAGGTGCTATGATCAAGGGTGAGATGTTTACTCCTTTCCTGGCCTGTGCTCTGGTCTATGAGCACTCTTTTCTGTCTTGGAACTGTGAGGAGGGTTTCCTCTCCACAGCCACTACCAGCTCCACCACACCAGTGCTCCTCCTCGCCCTAGGACCGCCACCCAGAACTGTGACCCAGATCCAAGCATGGGCAAAGCAAGAGGATCCTGAACCAGCAGAGAGATCCCTGCAATCTGTGACTGTGAGCAGTCACTTGATTCCTCCTCAGTGTGTGGGCCAGAAGTTCAGGAAGCAGCCACCACCCTCAGGGAATGGGGCTGAGACCTAGCTTCTCTTTTAGCACCAGAAACAGACTTTCCCACTCCGCCACAGCTGCCCGCAATTCAGCCCCCTGAGGCCTGCTCCAGGTTTGCTGCAGCCTGCGCACCCACACCGCACTGCACTCCCCTCCCAGCCCGGCACAATATACCTTTCCAATCAACCATCCAGGCTGTGTTTGGCTGGAAATTTGTTTCACTCTGTCTTTTTGTGGGTTCTGCTGCTTTAGAATTTGTTTAGAGCCATTTTTTATAGGTATTTGGAGGGGTTTGGGGGAGAGCTCAAGCAAGTCACTGCTTTTACTCAGCCATCTTGACTCCACCCCTCACTACTATTCTTTACCATCCTATTGTGCAGCCAAAGTATTATATTCCTATCCATTGAACATTCTTACATATTTTTACCTTTGCCTGGAATCCCTTTCCCCAACCTCCACCTGGCATGATCCTAACCCTTTGTAAGAGCCAGTCTAATTGCTACTCTCTCAATGAAGTCTTCCTCTCTCACCCCACTCCTCCTTTAATCCCTCCCCATCAACCAAAAGTGGCTCCCCCACTCTTTGAATTTCTAATATAGTAGTTATCCTTTCCTAGTCACTAAATCATTCTAATTTGTATTATAGCTATTTAAGCATGTCTTATCTCTCCCACTAGACCATAGGCACCGTGAAGGCATGAACCAACTTTGTCTTTCATCTTCGTACCCTTCCACACATCCAACATTACATTAAAAGACTCAGCAAATGTTTTTTGAATAAATGAATGAGTGAGTGAAGTAATAGGCTCAAAGATAATTTATGATAACCAGAATTGTCCTGAAGCAAAATTTTGAAGCAGATGAAGCCTCTACCCTTTCCTCTAACTTGTATGACATTCTCTTCCCCTTTCTTGGCTGTCTAGTCTCTTGTTCCATATTCAAAAATCACCATTGTCTTCATTCCCATTAAAGTATAAATAACTGATAACAGATCTTGGCATTAATGACATTTTGA